CGAACCTTAAGAGCGAAATACCATCTGTAAATCATTTTCAAATAATTCTCCTTCGAAGAATGACATGCTGTAAACTTCAGATCGTTCAGTTCCCTTCCCCCCTTTAAATAATGATGTGCATTACTTCAGTCACTTCAAAATGTGGTAGGACAGCCTTGCTGCATTTAGGGACCCTCCTGCTCATTCTCCTGAGAGGAGCCCTGGCCATCTGCCCCAAAGTCCTGCTCTGACACACACAAAAAGAAAGGCCTTCTTCACACAGCATGTAAACTATTGAATTTTCTCCAAGAAGTAGTGATGGCCAACAGCTTGGAGGGCTTCAAAATAAGTGTAGACAAATTCATGGAGGATAAGGCTATCAATGATCATGTTCTATCTCCCCTATCAGACGTCGTATGATTTTGAGTGCCAGTTGCTAGGACTCACAACTGGGGAGTGTTTTTCAGAGCTCAGGTCCTGCTTGCAGGCTTCTCAGAAGCCATCTGGTTGGCCATTGTGAGAAAAGATGCAATTTTCGTACTTTATCCACTATGTCACCTTCTTACTTGCCTTGACCCAATGGCACTGACTCCATTTAGAGTCAGATGCCATATCTTCCATTACAATTTCAACCACCATCCCTATAGTTAGCATGGCCTTCATCAAAGGCTTCTGAGTTTGGTGATGATATTGAGAAATTGCCATTCGAGATCCCCATAGCTTGTAGTTCCTGAAGCTTTCTGAGGGCCAAACTGTCAATGTCCCCCCCCCGCCCTGAAATCTAGGCATGTGGAGCTACAAATCAACTAAGACCAGCAAGGTGGAGGGTAAAGGTAAAGGGACCCCTGACCATTAGGTCCAGTCGTGACCGACTCCGGGGTTGCGGCGCTCATCTCGCTTTATTGGCCGAGGGATCCGGTGTACAGCTTCCAGGTCATGTGGCCAGCATGACAAAGCCACTTCTGGTGAACCAGAGCAGTGCACGGAAACGCCGTTTACCTTCCCGCCAGAGCGGTACCTATTTATCTACTTGCACTTTGACGTGCTTTCGAACTGCTAGGTTGGCAGGAGCAGGGACCGAGCAACGGGAGCTCACCCCGTCACGGGGTTTCGAACCGCCGACCTTCTGATCTGCAAGTCCTAGGCTCTGTGGTTTAACCCACAGCGCCACCTGCATACCTAAGAAGGAGGGTGGGGGTTACAAATCAGCTAAGAGCAGTAACTTTCCCCTTGGGTTACCTTCCCAATCAAAATTGCTCCTCCAAATGTTCTCCTGCCTATTGACCAAATAATACATTTGGCAGTGCCAGTTCTAAATTTTGGGGATCCTTGGGTAAATGGTCTCAGTGGGCCTCCCTTTCTGAGGGGGCTCATCCCCTCCTCCTCCTCCTCATTGTTGCCACTGTCTATTCACTTGTTTTTTTGCTCCATCACATCAGAGAGAAAGAGAGATGGGGGACAAGGTCTGCAGTGAACAGGTAAGAACTGCAAGGAGGAACAGCAGCACAGCCAGGAGGCTCCATGGATTTTAGGCATAGGTCAGCAGCACAAACAGTAAATCACTTGAGGACAGTGAAGTAAAATCTTTATTCAAGGAAACAAACCACAGTTCTGCTTCTTTCTCAGCTATGTGAAGACTATGGACATGGTCCCATGAACCAAACCACCTGTGATGCTCTTAATGCTTTAAAAAATCAGCCACTTTGGAAAAATAAAACCATTTGGAAAAATAAAAATAAAACAGTGGGGCCACAAGGTAGCTTGTGTTCCCATGAGAATTTCAAGCTGAAAATCACCTTTCCCTGGCTGCTATTGGCTTCAGATCTGCTTGCTGCAGTAAACTGCAGATTTGAGGGCAAAGAGCAGCATATGCTCAGGTTTTATCTTTCACATCTGGAAATAAATCCATCTGTTGCTTCCAGTGGGCTTGATCCTGGAAAAAATAGCTGAGTACTATTAAGCAGATTTTTAAAAATGCGAAGGACATACCCCAAGATTCCCCCCCCCTGCTGTAAACACACACCTGCCCATTTTTTTAACACTGAAAGGTTTACATAGCACAGGAATACTATGTTCATTGTTCTTATTCTCTGATCTTCTTAGCTAATGCTATACACAGAGAGCCTGCAATGCAGATAGCAACACTTGAAACCAACACTGGGTAGCTAAAGCACTACAGTGTTTATTGATCTTTTCCCTAATGGGCCAATATCAAATGTTTATTCAATGGCTACTGATAAAAGCCTAAAACGGTGGAAACACAGCACAGGGCTATCTCTTGTTCATCATGTTTTCCTTGTTAATGCTGCCCTAATGGGGTACTCTTAATTCATTTCCAACAGAACTGCGTAAAAACAGTCAGTTCTTATTTAAAGACTATCCTCCCAGAACATTCTCCCTGCTTGGTGTAGCTCAGCGCAGCAGAGTGATTCATCGGCAAAGGCTAATGCAACGAGAGCTAAGTGGGAATTTTTTTTTTTTAGATTTTTTTTTTATTTTGAGGATGTTCAACCCAAGGCTCTGTTGCCAATAGCAAGGGGTATATGGCTGTACTCTATCCATTTAGAAAAGGCCATTATGGCAGAGTTCTAGGGATCTCACAATATTACAGTGGTTCCTTGGGTTACAGACGCTTCAGGTTACAGATGCTTCAGGTTACAGACTCCGCTAACCCAGAAATAGTACCTCGGGTTAAGAACTTTGCTTCAGGGTGAGAACAGAAATCGCATGGCAGCGGCGCAGCGGCAGCAGGAGGCCCCATTAGCTAAAGTGGTACCTGAGGTTAAGAACAGTTTCAGGTTAAGAATGGACCTCTGGAACAAATTAAGTTCTTAAGCCAATGTACCACTGTACTGCTAGGTACTCAAAATACCATAAGCCAGACATACCCAACTATTTAGTGAAGAAATGCTTTATGAGCTTGTTAATTTTTATAAGAGACAGTATGCTTGCTTTGAAAAAAGGTGCAATACTTCAAGAGACATGAACCAGAGAAGTGCTTCTTGGAATTTTACTCATTGCACTGAGATTAAGTAGCAACAAGAGATCCTTCAGGGACGTGATGCTGTTCTTTCTTAGTCAGACTTCCATCCGTCTCTCGCCCTCTTTCTCATGTACACACATAACCAGCAGCACTCATATGTGAAAGTAGTAAGCACTAGAGGTGTGCAGGAACTCATGCTGAGATTTTAATCATAGGGTTTTATTTTACCCAAACTCTCCAGCGTCAGTATTTTGGGGGAGGAATGTTTAAGGAAATCAATAGTCTTTGTTTCAAGTGCTGCTTGCTCTTTCTCAAGTTCTGTCTCGGAGGACCAGGAACATTATTAAAGGTGTGGTGGTGGTGCAGTTAGGTTTGCTGCAGCTGTGTAAAGCAAATACATTCAGAGCAGCATTCCTGAGTACTCAGAGGGCGTGTGCCGAGGGACAGTGGCCAATAGAGCTTTCTAGAGTTAAGAATCCTTTGTGGGCAACTGTGAAGTCCCTTGAAGAAAAACACCATATAAGACTTCATGAACTCCCCTGCGGTGGCAAGACAATTCAAATGCTTCCTGCTTTTGTCTTACCTATTCCTAGGGAAAGTCATCACCATTCTTTATCATGGATGAGGTAAGTTGTGACAGACAGCCTCTGGGATTCCAGAAAAGAACAGTGGGAGTGAGCAGGTAACAAGCATATATGCATTAAGATACCTATGATCTTGTTTTGTTTTCTAATTCTTATTTGTGGAATCTGCCAGTATACAGTGATAAAGTTTATGACAGAAATGAAACCAGGAAATGAAAATGTGAAAATTCCTGATTACAGACATTCTACAATGAACCTTGCTTGTAAAGGCAATAAAATGAAATACAACATAGAGATAATCTAGTCCAGGAATTGCGTATTAAAGAATAAAAACAGAATCAACCTCTGCACTGTATAAAAATTCAGTGTTTTGCTGTAAATGCGATTTGTAGTTCTCGTTAAACACAATGTACTTAATCTCTTTCTCTAATTGAAGGACCATTACTTTAATTCATCTAATATTGATTCAACATCTTTTAAACTACATCAACTTCACCTACAGGTCCTGTATAAGTCTTTGATCGAATTTCATTAGCATATATTTAAAGTAACATCCATGTTGTGCAATTCATTTAGATCATTTCTTATATTCCTTGAATCATGGGGAAATGGAAGGCTTAAAAAAAAAAGCTTGCCTTGATGATCTTAACAATAAATTGAAATCCACACAGGCCTAATACTACTTTCCTTGTAGGTTTTCAGCCCTTAAAGTGCTACATTGTTGATTTTTGTTCTTTTTCTGATGCATATAGATTCCGAAATACTAGCACAGCATCTGCCATTTCTCAAAGGTACTACAGGTAAGCTGCAAGTGGCAATTTCTCCCTTCCAGCTCACTCTGCCTTTTATTCCAGACACAGGGCTGTCATTCAGTTATAGTTCCTCAGTAGAACAGAGTGTCCTTTCTCCATTTTCCTTCCTCCTTCTCTCTGGCATTAACTGATTTCCCCGGCTCTTTAAATGGAAGCTGATGCTGGAGAGAACAATGAAAGAAAGCCACCTGAGTACACTGTGATGCGGTAACCCTGTGCTACCACAAGTAGAAGTAAGGCAATTTGCTGTTATGAAGGTGAACTGCAGAGGCCACAATGCCTGTATTATAGGGCAAGGTTTGGGATGGAAGGGGAATCTCAGGGCGTGCCCATAGTAGGTTTTGGGAAAGGAGTTGAAGGAAACGTATTTCCTACATGGTGCTGTAAATATATTAATTGGCATAAAATATAGAGAAGTCAATTGTCAGCCTTTATACAGCTTTGGTTCCTGTATAGGACACACTTCTTTCCTTTGATGAAGACAAGTTTTCCCCATTTCTGGACTGGTGTGGAATTCAGTTTCATCTGCCCTTTGAGACAAGGCATTGCAGTGCCTAACTTCCATCTCCCAATATTCCAACCCCCACAGCAGTAACAATGGTCTTGTATGCAACACAGCCGATAGGGTAAACTGCACAGAACTATGGATGTAAACAAAACCTTTTATTAACAGTCAACTTTTCACAGAATCAGTTGAATACATGTAACAATGTATTTACAAAACAAGCAACACACTATTTGCAGACACCTTTTAAATGCCATCATCAGTTAGCTGATTTTTTTTTAAGATCCCAGTATTGCACATATCAGCTTGATGATCAACCATCTAACCATAGATATCAGTTTATGAGACACAATTTGAATAAGCTTAGACTACCAGGCAAACATCCCAGATCCCCAAATTTAGCTTAAAATTGGCAACATCAACAAATTGCACTGAAAGCCCAATAAAAACCATCTAGTAAATGTTCACTTAGAAACTTAAAGCAGACTAATTCTCTGTAATAAGCAAAGTAGGGAGTGGGGGGGGGGGTCCCTGATCACAGTCAACCACCAGCACTGAAAATCCTCTCATTACGAACAATAAGAGTGAAAGGATATGGTACTCTTCATTTCACCCAATTTTGACGTTATGGGAGGCATGCTGATATGCCTATTGCACTACCAGAGCCTTGATGGGTTAAAAAATGGAGTTAGATCTCTGCTCTGCTAAGTTAAGGTTGGTATGTATTATAGCGTAACTGACTGCTTGATTCAATGTTTGCAGGTATGTCTGTTTGGAATGGGACCATTGTCCACAAAAGGATACTGCATTAAGCAGAACACTCTCTGCATAGTTGTGGTTAGTGATTTGGGACTGTACTGCGTAAGACAAACATGAAGCAAGTTTAATACCAATTACTTGTTTAGGAGTGTGGGAGAATTGAATCTCAAATTCTTCACCTTTCTAGCCTCCTCCTGAAAGCACCAACTATTCAGAGGATGCAGGCAGGCAGATGCTCTTACACTCAAGCTTGAATTCAACCCACTGATGTGCATATCTGGAGTGGGGCTCAAGGCTGCAATTCTGTATGTATTTCTTAAAAGAGAGATTTTTTTCATTGAAATCAAAGGGACTTACTTCTGAGTACAGAACTGCACAGCACAGAATCGGGAAAGAAACTTGAATGTTTGTTGTCACAAGAAAATTTAAAGCAATTTTTGAAATCACAACTTCTACTTTAAAAGCATAAATAAAAGTTTGTAGTCCTTAAAGGCATCACAGGACATTTATATACCATAATTCAGTATGCATAAACCAACAATTTACAAATATAATCATTGAATTCATCCACCAGTATACACAAGGCGGCTTATAATCCACATGCAACAGATCACTAGCGTTCACACAATGATAAGACAGGGATACGGAAAGGTTAAAAAAAATTACACAGGTAAACAGATGCACAATACATGATGCACAATTCAAAAACTCTAAGACAGGAGTGTTATGCACAATTCAAAAACTCAGACGGGGTAGTACTAGACCACTTACAGTTCTCTGTCAGAAGCAAGGGCATAGAGGCAAACATGCACAACACCATTCCTTAGTAAGTGTTGTTACAAGGCACAAGGGTCCAGTGCTTGCATATGAATTAACTGAAAATATAACACCACAGCAGTACTTGGTAACTTGGCTCTTTCAGTGGAGTAGTATAAAAGTATCTATTGAAAAGGTTGCTAGAATGCAAAAAGCACTGCTGCCACTCAGACCACAACTGATATAATTCTCCTTGAGTGAGAGCTCAGTTTGTACAAGTTTAACAAACTGTGACTCAAAATGTATCATGCATGGGCACTTAAAGCTGCAGTCCTGTGCATATTTTTAAGAATAAGTCCCACTGAGCAAAATGAGGTTTCCTTACAGATTGAGCTAAGCACAAAGAGGCTTTATCTACATATTTTTGCCTAGAAGTCAAAGCCTACAAATTAAAATGTCTGGAATTTAATCCAACAATACAAAAACAATACTTGGAATTGGTTAAAAGGGAATTGCATATAAATACAGAACAGAGGATGCCATCCCAATGTTCCAGATTTACAAATAAAACCTTCCATGGGTACAGTTGCCCACCAGGGGCTTAAAATATCTTGTGTTTTTGCTCCCTGCCAGGGACTACAAAATCATAGGCTCAATGCAGTTGTAAAGATGGCTGGTCGCCTGTGTACCAGAAGTCGCCAGAAGTTCTGTTCTGTTGATATCCTTGCAGACATTCAGGGCTTGCCCCACAGCCTCCTCAAATGACAGGTCAGAGTTACATAAGTAAACATGCCACTTCTTAAAAATTTAACCCCTCTCATTGCTCTGGCTGCAATGGGTAGAGTGGCATGATAACAGCAGACAAAGCTGTTTGTGTAATCTTCATCTCAACTGGACTTGACAAAACGCAACCCAAGGTACTGTGCAACTACAGCCACTTATTTCATTTACATCTGTGCCAAGTCACTCTGCAGCTCAGTGTTCATTTTTTTAAAAAAACGATTCTACACAATTTAAAATAACTAGTGTGCCAAGCTAAAAAAACCACACATTTAATTTGTTAATACATTTAAGTTTGACACGGATGGCATTTTTTGTCAAGCAGAACTGTGATTTGTTGGACTTGATTTGCACTGTTTGCTGCCTGTTTTACAACCACTGCAGTTCATTATACACTAACACAAACATATTTTAAATATGAATCTATCGCAAATCCTACATTTATATTTACAAGAACACTTATAAATAAGCAGCAGAGTGTTTATGCTCAAACGATGAGAAAGTGTTTTTGGCTAAATATGTAGATTTTTTTGGTGATTGCAATGTATCTTTGGCATATCTAATATACACTATATATTATTATTTGTCTTAACTGTACATCATTTCGGGGGGGGCGGGGATGACAGTATCTTAGCAGACTGAGCACATCACAAATAGAAAGAAAGAAAATGTAAGCCAGACCGTTTCAAGATGTCAGAAAGGTTTTGATTCAAAATTTGAGGAGGATGCTAAATTCAGTCTGGTGCTGAATACTTTTTGTCACACCACTCTCCAAACTCTCTTCAAAACTCCATAGGTTATGCACAGACCCTTATAATATATGCACAAAGCAGAGAATGGGCAGTAGGGCAATGGTGACCAAAACCCTGTCTCTGAGCATGGAAACCTTTGAAATTAGGTTCAATAAATAGAAATTGGGCTAACAACTTACATTCTGCAGACAGCACCCTTAGCACCTTGGTTTTCCCTGCAGACCTCTCTGCTGGAACAGCCCATTAAATATGGGGTGTGCATAGGCTCTAAGATTTGCTTTGTATCTGTACATTTTAAAAACTTACAATCTGCTTCTAAGTCATTCTGTGTTCTGTTTGCTTCAATCTGTTGTTGTTGTTGTTTATGGTTCAGAGCTGCTCTGTATAAAATGAAGCTGTGTGCTCCCGATTTACTATAATGGGGAATCTAAAGTGAATCTAAAAACCTTCCTCCCACCTTTGACCAAAATGGATGAAATTTACACGCCCAGGAGCTCCATCAGAGAGATTAAATCTGCCAAATTGCAAACAAAGAGGTCCAGGGACTTTTATTGTGGGAGAATTAAAGGACTTCACTTTCCTCCATAATGCTCTACTGGATAAGCGCAGGGAAATGGGAGTTTGTCTCTTTCTTACCATAAAACAATTAAGTGATAGCCAAGTGGTGCATATTCTTACCTGAACATTATTTTAACATTTGCAGCTTCACAACAGCCTTTCTTTCTGGCTGAGCAAAGAAGACAATTGAGGAGCAAAGTGACTGCAAGTTCCTCTCTGGGGGTCTGCATAGTTTTGGCTTACTGTGTTATGCAAACCATGCTATTATAAACGCAAACATTGAATTATACAGCACAGAAAAGCAAAGAAACAGAGCAAGAGAACCCCAGGAGAGGGCCCCATCTGATTTGGGGGAAGTTACTGATATTATGTGTCAATGAAAAAAAGGAGGAAACCCCCAAACCCTGCAATTCTCATTGTTCTATTCCTGGAGCCATTGCACACCCCTAGTATCTGCATAACCTTCTTGTTTGTTACCCAATATCTGTATAAGTTTCTTATTTGCTATAAGCACCATTCTTTTCCTGTTTCGTTTTTTCGAGACAGATACCATGAATCTAATCTGGGCATTTTGCCCATTAATCTAGCTCTTTTCTTTGCCAAGGATATGAGTACTGTTCCTTCATTCATTGGGATCTTTTACCATAGTGTTTCAAAGTAGATAATTTGCTCTTTTGCCATAAGAAATGAAACCGAAGCACACAAATGTATAAAACAGCATAATCTTTAGCTCACATGCTAGACACAGCCTGGGATATTTGTTCCAATACTTAACAGTCAAGAATAAGCTTCAAAGTGCAAGTACTTTATGTCCAACATGCTTTATGTTTAGTGAATTCAGAATTCAGCAAGTGTTTGTTTCTCAAGGTTCGTATTGCATTGAGCAAAACACCTTGGAAGTTTGCAAAACTTGCTCCTGACCAGCTACTAATGCACAAGACTGAGTTTGAAAGCTGATACTTTCATAATACCTGTGAATTCACTGATAAGATACATTATGCTACATAACTTACACTACTAGCATTTTCACATCTTTTTTTCCTTCACAAGTGCATGTAAATAAGGCACTATGCAGTGTGGGGCAAACTCGGGTATAAAAATGTAGCAAAACTTCAAAAATACTTGTAAGAACTTAAAATTATATAACAAAACACTGCCTGTAACACCTTCTAGCTAAGTATACATGCACAGTTTACACTAAATAAACTTTATAAATTTGCAAAATTGTCTCAAGACACACAAAAAAGGAACTGTTTCTCTTCTTAGCAACATTTAAAAAAACCATTATTTCTAAGCATTGCGGATTTGGCTACATGTACATAACCTTTCATTCATTAAATATTATGAATAGATATTCTGTACAAACACAGAGATCTAGTATTAAGGCATATTCACAACAAATGGCTTTGTTTACAATTTATCCCTGTAGATAATTTACTCAGGGGTTTTGAAAAATATGAAATCATTTTTAAAAATTTCAGAAATAATGACTTCAGATCCCAAATAATACTACTACAATCACAGGTAAAACTCCGGATTACCTCAGTGGATCTGGTCTTGATAAAGTATATTTCCAATTCAATATCATACTAATTTTAGGAAGAATCTGGTCATCTTTCTAACTCTCCCTAATCATGTAAGAATAGAAAATTATTTTATTTTATTTTAGGAACTCTGAGGTATAATTCCTTAAACCTCCCTTACTATTTTGGAGAAAATATGGCTGATGAAAATTATTAAGCATAGAAATTACTATGAAAAAGTAACTGTGGGTTTTAATTTTTGTTAGGTCACTATAGTTACTGAACTGTTAAATCTACAAATATGTTATCTGTGCCTTAAAAATAACCTACAAAACAACCCACCTCAAAAGGTACTGAAAGGTACAGGTTTGTGCAGCAGAAATGCACACGTGATATGTGAAAGATTTTCCAAGTAATGTTCCAAAGTAATGCATGATCAAGGCCAATGTGTGAAAAGTACATGCTTTTGAATAGCCAGTGCTACCTATCAGACAAATACAGATTAGTACTTCTCTAAGTAAGGCATCCAATTTAGTTTTTTGTTTGTCTGATGTTAGCATCTTACAGTAAAGGCTCCCCAAACATTTGCGCACTTGCTGCACTAAGCCCCTTCTGCCTTAACAAGGTTAACCATGACTAGCATATTGGCAGTTCAGATCCCAGTTTCCCCAACTCTGAGAACAGGCAAACAAAAATAGGATTGAACTATAGAGCCATAGATTGGAAGGGGCCTTGAAGCTTGGTTAGTCCTACCAAGATGATGCATGAAATCCATAGCCACAGCATCCCCACCGGAGTCTGTGGAGTGCTTTAATATCACTTGAAGAGCATGATGAAAAGATACAGAATTCCGTTTAGGCTCTAGCATCATCAGTTGACAGTGCAACAACTGAAGGACAACACACCATACTCTTGGCCTTATCAACTAATAATGATACTAATTAAATATAGGCTGGGTGAGGGAGGAACTTCCTGAGCTTCATTCAGGACGCCATTGCCACACTTACCAAGAACTGTGACTGCAAATGTGGAACATTATGAACTTTTCGCTATAACAGACTTAAGACAATTCTAGTAATGAGAAACATACAGTCTTAGAAAGGCAAGGCATTTCAGCAGTGTCATGAGCAGATTCATTTTTCAAGGTTCCACAGCAGCAAAGGTACGTAGCTTGTTGATTGGCCAACAGGAAATCCATGTTGATTCTCTCCACTTGCTTCAGTAAAATTGTTAGAACCAAAAGAGAAGCTTTCACGCATATTGAACTGCTCATCTCAGATTGGACAACCAATTTTCACAGGCTGGAATTTCACAGTCAGCTGTTCTTCAAGTTACATGACTTCTGATAACTCCACTCTCCCTTCGGTGGCAATGACTTCCTTTTCCATGCTGGCGGTGGTCCTGTTTTCACACAGCTTCTGCTTGAGTTTATTGAGTTCATACTCATGCAAGATTTTCTGAGTTAAGTACTTCTCACGCTTTATTTTGGCTTTCACTTCAGCCGGGACATCAGGAATCATCCAAGCCACAAAGAATTTGACAATGAAAACAACATGCTGCAAGGCAGGGGAACAATGCAAAAATAGGAGGATGTATGCAAAGAACTATGGAGGCAAGGTATTTCATCAAACAGTTGTTATTCCCTGTCCTAAACATTTGCAATGCAGACTTTCTAGGCTTGAGCTCTGAGAAAGATGGTTTTGCAAAGTGATGATATCTTCCTACACCAGGCTTCCTCAACCTCGGCCCTCCAGATGTTTTGAGACTACAATTCCCATCATCCCTGACCACTGGTTCTGCTAGCTAGGGATCATGGGAGTTGTAGACCAAAAACATCTGGAGGGCCGAGGTTGAGGAAGCCTGTCCTACACCTTAAAGTTGTGGCTACAAAGAGGGGTTTTTTTTTGGGGGGGATCAACAATAGCATGCCATGCACACTAATTTCATCAGCTTGGGATGCATTTAGATAAATAGCACAAACTTTTGGGAGGCAAAACAACAGAGGGTTGTTTGCAGTAAAGCTTGCAAAATTCTGCAATTCTTTTATAATCTGCATATACACAAATGGTATTCGATTCTGGATTTTTGTTTGCAACTTGTAAATCCTTTGTGTTTTGTTGTTACCCTTCTTTTAAAGCTATAGTTCCATGAATCACAACAAGATAATTTTGTACTCTCATCAAAACTGCAGTAACTCTACACTGACACTCTACACTGAATCAATTACAAGAGGCAAGGGAACAACTTACCTCCATAATAATGATAAAAGCCATCTTGGCAGCCAGGATGTGCCAGAACTGCATTGTGTGTGCATATTTCCTCTCATGGTCTGGTGGATATCGATAGTCCCTGTACCTGTTGAATACAAACATGTAAAGGTGAAGGGCCACATTCAAAGGCAGACAGATTACAAGCTCAGTGGCATTTACATTCAAATACACCTGTCACTTAAGAAGCCTTTTGATCCTGATCTTAATGTTTTGCTTTATTTATTTCTTTTCAGGACATGGCTCTTGTAACTGGTTCAGTGTCCCTCGTTTGCTCTTTCATAGCAAAAGCAAACTGCAGAGCACATGCTAGCAGAGCTTTCAGCTATCATAAGGTGATGTTTGGCTAGGTGGATCATGGAAGAGCATAAATCAGGGAACAGAAACGTAAAACAAGACGTGATGTAGGAAAGTTGTTCAAACAAAGCACTAAAGCTTAAATGGTACATACAGAAGCCTTGGGCTTTAAGGGGAACATGTCCTTCACTTCTACTGTAGATTTCCATGGCTCATTTATAGCCAACAGGAACAGTCCTCTTCACATGCAACTCACACAAATGGATAGCACAGATATAAAGAGAGCTGCGTGTATAGCCCCACCCCTGAGGCAATGTGAGTCCTCCTGCCCCCCCTTGAGCAACACCTTCCATTGACAAAAAAGGCTCCTCTTCCAGAAGGTATCTGTAAGCACACTGGGGGCCAGGAGGAATCACATGAGCTCCAGGGTAAAGCTAAATGTGTGGTCTTTTACAGCCATGATGCCCCTTTGCATAAGAAACATGCAAAGAAGGCTAATGCTAGAAAGGATTCTGTAGGCACCTTGTAGTGAAAAGCCATGTGGAATCTTGTGTGTTATAGTAGCCCCATTCCAAGAGGTGCACTCAACAGGGAATAGGGTTATCAGGAATGTCATAGAGGTAGCACTGGATAAAAAATGTTGAATCCATTCCTAGCCGATTACATATGAGTCTTCTTTTAAAGGAGACTGTAAAAGTCTCCATGTGATAAAACTCCCCTTTCTCCAAACTCTGATATATGCATTTTATTTTAGGTCACCTCTCCAGGTGAGACAATCACAGAGCTACTACTGAAAACTGTAGTTCTGTGTTGTGGGCCCCCTCTTCCCCTAGTGACATGTTAGAGAAGCAGGTGACATTACATCATTTATTTATTTATTTTAGCTTTTCCTGACCCGCATAACATGCTACTGAGAAAGGTGGCAGGGGGGTTGCCAATATGGGGTTGCAGAGACACCATGATCAGCATCACATCTACTTCTAGAGTGAAATTACTTTAAATTTAAAAGTGAGAATAAGGCAATGAAAGGTTGTAGTCTTTACACTTCCTTACTTCTGTCCTTTGGGCTACATTTGTTCTTTTTTTCCTACTACCGTACTGGTAATATTGCCACAATTACATCTTGCCTTCAAGAAGACATCAAATTACATTCCCTAAAACTCCTATAATAAAGCAAATGTCTTATTCTGATGGCTAAAGGGCCCCTCATTTCATCTTATAGAAGGCAACAGTAAGGAGAAGAATTTAATGATCAAGACCAATATAACTGATTTATTACAGAAATCTACTGCAAAAAAACACACACAAACAGACATGTAAAAGGGGTTAATTGCAACTAACCTGCAAGTGGAAAAGTTTTCTGGGTTTATGTCAGGCCTGTTTTTATCAGGAAAATCTGAGGTTTGAAATATGGAGAGGCTGTCATTAATGTATCCAGACATGGGTGAAGAAGGATCCATAGAGTAGGCATAATAATATACCAATCGAGGGATCATATCAGATGTGAAGGCAACAATAAATGCCTGCAGGAAAGAAGTTGGATTATATGTTAAATGTTTCATTCACAGGAAATGCAAAGAAATGAACAATGTATCTACCTTTGAATACTAATCCACGCACAGATACGAAGGTCACCAGCTGACCTTAAGCCACTCTTTCTCAGCCTAAGCTACTTCACAAGAATGTTGTGAGGATATCGGAGAAGAAGAAAAACCAGGTATGCCACTTCGAGCTCCATTGAAACAGGGATTGAAAAGTGTCTATTTATTGATATATGTAAAAACATAAGAACAATGGTGATTTATCAGATGAAAACCCTACCTAGTCCAGCAACCCATTTCCCACAGTGGTCTATCAGATGGCTATGTGAAGCCCACAAGTAAGACAAGAGCACTTGCCTGTTCCTATTCCACAGCAACTAGCATTCAGAGCCTCTGATGCTGAAGGAAACCTGGATGTACAACTGGTAAACTTAACTGGAACCATTATTGATCTGCCAGTGCTCTATGATCCTCTGCCAAGGCTCTCTTCCATGTACCTCTTCCATCTGGAGTATGACAATACCTTCAGAGGAGAGGGCTTTCTTGGCAGTGGTTATAAAGCATTCTTCCCAAAGAGGAAGGTGCAATCATTTAAATGCCAGGCAATAGCACATTTTAATTGATTTAATTGAGCAATCATTTAATAGTTCATTTTAAAGCTTTCATCTGCTGCTTTTATCTTTGTTTTTGTATTTCATTACATTGATCTTTTATGTTTAGTGCTGCCCTGAAATCTAACCTGACAGAGCATGGTCCACAATGAAGGCACCACTATGGATGCTTTGCCATTCACACTTCTGCGAAGGTCAGGACGAAAACCAACAATTTATTCCACTAATTTTAATGAAACTAACTTTAGCTGAATTGGGGTCCTGTGCTTTACATATTACAATTTCCCTTAGAAAAAAAGTGATTATGTTGGAGTGCACCAATTAGCACCTTCTTAGAGCTTCGGTTCCCAGGATCCCTGAAGTAAGACATGAGCTTTAAAACAATGTGTACTGCCATACACCTTCCAATTGGCTTACAATTTTTTATGTACACCCAAGCCTCAGCAAAATGCAGGACCAGCTGTATGGACTCTAATACAATAGCAATTCAAAGAGGCACAAAACAAGGATGCCCACTGTCTCCCTTCCTATTAATCTTGGCTCTGGAACCTCTAGCAAACTGAATCCGAGCAGCCACAGACATCAAGGGAGTGGAAATAAAAGACAGAACCTATAAATTAGGGCACTTTGCAGAAGACCTGATGGTCACAACACCAGACCCCATAAACACAGCAACCACCCTAACCAAAGAACTTGACACATTTGCAATGGTGTCGGGCCTACAATTAAACATTGCAAAATCTGAGGCCATGTGTTTCAACATCCCCCTCATATCCAAAAAGAATTCACCAACATCACCAAAATAAAATTCTGCTGAACCAAGTTCAGATACCTAGGCGTACAAATAACCAGAAACCTCAACAAACTATACCTCTACAATTACAACCCCTTGTGGTGACAAATCAATGAAGACTTGAAGAAATGAAACACCAACTTCACCCTCTCAGACAAAACAGCCATAATCAAAATGATTATTATTTGGGAAACCCTCCCAAAATTAACCTACCTATACCAAACCCTCCCAATCTGGATTCCCCCAACCCAACTCCGCAAATGGCAGAAAAAATTACATTCGCTTATCTTATCACACAAAAAAGCAAGAATAAACCTCAAATACCTACATCTCCCCTCCTCAGGAGAAAGATGGGGAATCCCCAACATAGAACTATACTACATGGCCAACCAAGTGTGCCACACAATGCCATACGTTCTAGAGGACGAGACAAAACAATGGGTATACCTGGAGAGAGAGATAATCAAAAATACCCCCACCACAGCATACCCATTCATCCTAAACAAGCTAAGTAAAATCCCCACAACACTAAACAGGTTCATACAGACCATGCTTAAAGCATGGAAAGAGGAAGCAACCCCAACCAGTGAGCCAGTGTGGTGTAGTGGTTAAGAGTGATGGACTCGTAATATGGTGAACCGGGTTCGTGTCCCCACAACTCCACATGCAGCTGCTGGGTGACCTTGGGCTAGTCACACTTCTCTGAAGTCTCTCAGCCTCACTCACCTCAGAGTGTTTGTTGTCAGGGAGGAAGGGAAAGAGATTGTTAGCCGCTTTGAGACTCCTTAGGGTAGTGATAAAGTGGGATATCAAATACAAACTCTTGTTCTTCCATCCCCAACCCCAACCCGCACTAACCCACCACCCACTATTCCACCATGCAGCACAAAAATTCCAGATAATAACCTGGCAAGCCAAAGGCTTATACAAAAATAACAAACCCACATCAACACAAGAAATACAAGACAAACTAGGGGACACCCAATTGTCCTGGCTAACACACCACCAATTACATACCATCTTAAACAATCCAGTAGTAAAATCAGCAGCAACTAGACCCTTTACAACCTTTGAAAACCTCCTCCTAACAACAAAGGGACATGGCATGGGGTTGGTGTCCACAATATACAAAATACTGCTCCAAAATCCCACAAACCCCCTCAACATAATAATAATAAATAAACAATGGGAGGACGACATAGGCTATGAAATTAACCCTACCCAATGGACTAGAATGTGGTCTAAACCTCCCTTTACATCCATCTCAGTGAAAAGAAAAGAACTCACTATGAAACTCACTTACAGTTGGGACCTAATACCACAAAAACTAGCACTGATATGCCCAGGAGCCTCACCAAATGCTGGAGAGGCTGTACTTCGACAGGCACATACTTCCACATGTGGTGGTAATGTCCAAAAATCCAACTCTTCTGGACACCAGTCATACAAGAAATATGCAAAACAACTAAACAAGTATTAGAACTCACCCCAGAACTGGCCCTACTGAACATCTTCCAAGATAATAATGTCCACTCACATTACAAAGAGCTCATAACCCATCTACTCTCAGCAGCCAGAAGCATCATAGCCTGGGGAGACCTGACAGAAGTAAATATGGACCAATGGTATCAAATAGTATGGGAAACAGCCTTTCTAGAAAATCTAACCAATCAACTGAAACTGACACGGGGGCAAATAGAAGACACCTTCACCCCAACATTGTTCCCCTTTATCACATGCATAGCCCAACAGCATACGAATCAATATGGCTAACCTGACCCAAAAATCCACCTCCTCACACACATAAACAAATCTTACTACAGCCAACCAAAAACAACCAACCACACCCTAGGCTTCCCCCCAATCTCTCTCACCACCAAGGAAATATAACAAGCGAATAGAAAGTGAACCCACAAAAGTGACACTGACACAAAACCCCACACATACACTAAGTACAAGAAAAGAAGCATTACCACCCCACTCAACTCACTGTCCCCCTCCCCCTCTTTTCTTCCCAACCTAATACTGCATCCAACACTGATGTCTCACAACAAATGAAACTGATCTGCAGAAAACACAACTTGAAAAAAGAGACAATGCACATATTTTTGTAAACTAAGAAATCATTCATTCATATCACACTACTTACATTTGTGACAACAGACAAGATAGCCATCCCATTCAGAATTTCTTGCCAGACTCCTATGCTATGGGCTTTGGCTGCCACTGGCCTTCTAAACTGCGTTGTAAGCTTCCAAGAATCAACTCGAATTTCCAGGATATTGTTCATCAGAGCAAGTAGTGGAGCCAAAGGAAAAGAGGCCACAAATAAAGTGATAAATCCAAACTGGATAACTAGATGAAAAGGAGAGAGAAAAATAAAGGAAAACATCTGAATGAAACCTTAGAGAATTTGCATTTGAATTAATTGTGAATGGTAAACATACATATCAGAATATTTGTGTGCAGCTGTGGACGCAAGTACATGGTATGAATCAAAAGAAAGGTAGCAAGTATTCCTGAAAAAAAAGTAAGCCTGTTTTTACATTTAAGGACTTAATTCAGAAAAAATGGTAGTTATTTATGAAGAAAAATTATACAGAGACTGAAGATGAAGAGATCAATTCCAGAATAAGACTGAAAATCTTTTCCCTGAAGAAGAAAATACTCTAACACAGAAAAGGAAATTCTATATCTTCCTTCAAGTCTTTCACTGAGAGGCAGGGAGCCAACAACCTTCCAGATGTTGCTGGACTACAGCTCCCATCATACCTGACCATAGGCCACACCGACTGGGGTTTATGGGAGCTGGAGTCCAACAACAAATGGAAGAGCATATGTTCCCCACTCCTTAGTTCTCATGACCTACCATAGCCTGCAGTCAAACTTAAGTATGCACGATCAAAGCAACAGCATAGTCTTTCTCTCCGCCTCCACTTTCTTCCCTTTTCTTGGTTGATTTCCCTTGACTGAATTTTAGATTGTAAGCTCCTCAGGGCAGGGTCTCTGTAAGTGCCATGCATACTGTTGGCATGGTAATCACGCTAAATGATAAACCAAGAGCTTGTGTGACTTTAGCTGTGTTCCAGCCCCATCCCTGGCCTAAAAGCCTTCATGGCAGTAGTGGCTGGTGTGGCAGCCATCAATGCTCTCCCAGCTTCCAAACACAGCATGTTGCTGGCACTTACAGGACAGAGAGGTGCTATGCAGCAAACCCAGCCCACTGCTGTTGCCATTATGTGCCTGCACAGTGCCTAGTTTGGTGCTGGGAGGGCAGTGGTGCCCTACCTAAGCCACCACACTGGCCGCTACAGCTTCATTGAGACTTTATTTCCTTGCAAGTCACTGCCTCTCCATGGCTGTCAAAGTGAGCATGGGTGGGAGAGAAGGGCATTTTACAAGGTAATAAAATTTTAAATGGGGAAGAAGCGGCTACGATCTGACAAGCTGCCCAGTGAGAATAGGATAGGGTCTAAAAACTGAATAATAGAATGCATATTTGCCTTTACACTATAATCTTCTCTGCCCCCCAGCTTTAAATTTTCATTTGGTAATATAGGTGTCCCCCCTCCACTTATGCAGGGGTTACATTTTGGGCCACCATGCACAGAAGTGAAATTGCATAAAGTAGGAAGCACCCTCTAGAAAGCCTCTAAACACTCATTTTTCCATCTCTCCAGCTCCCTCTCATGCTCTCTCTAAACACAACTCTCTCTTCAACTAGTGTTTGAAGCTCTGGGGCCAGCTGGAGGCTGGAAGATGCGTGGGGAGGCTGAGCAGCCTACACAAAACCCCGCTGTGTCTTAAGTCTCTTTGGGGCTTCCTCTGCCCTCACTGATGTCCTCTTTGGGCTCTGTGAGGGTCTCCTCATGAGTTATGAGGACTCTCCAGCTCTCTCCTGCCATTTCCTGGTATTATTCTATTTAGAACAAGTAAAAGTGGGGAGACGCCTGTATGGTCCACAACAAATAAAAAAAAAGTTCACTCTATGGTGCTTTGAGATAAAGAGAAAACCCAAAACATACTTTATTCATTGCTGCAATGAATACCAACTCAAATCAGCACGCCTGCCTTTAGTTTCTTAAAGGCTAGCACACAAAACACAATGTAGCAGCCATAACAGCACTATTTTAGAACAGATTTCCTTGCTAGCTACCATATGCCATCTGTTGGCTGCTCTGTGAAATCACAACAGCTGTTGACTTCTTATCTTCTGCTCTCTGTAGTCATGCTCTGTTTTGTGGTAGCACATTGTGACAGCAGAAAGTTCACTGTACAGCTTGGGTCAAACTGCAGAAACTGCTGTGTTCAGATAAGGCAGGGGTATAAGCCACATGAAGTCTGTGCTGAATGCTCACTAAAAGCAGCATAATTATTGTTGTGAGGCACAGCACTGCAGCAAAATTTTAGGGTTTTTTTTATATGGATATTCTCCATTTTGTACCCAAGAGGTTGATTCTTTTCCAATACTTCACAGCTCAGCAGCCATAAGTTGTTATTGTTTATATAGTGCCATCTATATACAATGAAAAGGTTTGACAGGTCCCTATTCCTAGGGGACAACCACTACAAATGCATCTACAGGTGTATATGTAGTACTATTAGTTCACATAGTCTTTCAGCCAAGAAACATCAGCTGAGGAATATGTATTAGCTCCATTCAATTGCACGGAAGAAAAGCAGCTGTCAGAAGCTGAAATAGCTCTATACAGAGGTGTTTTATAACCATTCATTGTGCTTACCCATTTCCAAGTACTCATAGAATAGGCCCAAGGCCCCAAAGTTCTGCAGATCATGGTCCTGCTCCCATCGACTGTATAAATTCTCAGGACTGCTACTGGCTTTCCGACGGCCCCACCAATTCCGGATCCAGCTGTGGGTTGGGGTAACAGAAAACACAGGATGGGGCAGGTTGCATAAAAGGTACAGCATTGAAGTCAGAATCATGTCCCATATGGTATGACACCAAAAGTGTTTTCAAAGTATCTCTCCCATAAAGAAGACTATCCAGGGTTTAATACAGGGTGGGAAAAGTCCAGATTACAGGGCCACTGTAGTCCTATTTGGGTGTTCTAAATCACACAACACACACAATACATCTCTGCCTGCTGCCCCATCCCCAGTCAAATCACCTACCACCATCACACATCGCACACTGGGGTGAAAGTCTGAAAAGAGGAGCTTGGCTCTTTGTGCGTATGATATTGCCATGATTTGCAACCCTGTTCTCACAGTGCTCCAAATCAAAGAGAGACCATGTGTGTGCAGACCAGGCTTCTCTCTTCAGACACTCCCTCATATAGCACTGATTCTGGTGCCTAGGAATGCTCCCTCTTTTCCAGTTCCATAACCATTGCCTACATTTTAAATAATTTTCTCTCATCCTGCAGTAAGAAGTTTCTACAACCAAAATTAATATTGTTATGGCTTTATGCGCTTACTGTGTTCACTGTTGAGATGCATAACGCAACCTATTCCCCTCTCTTAAAAATGAAACTTACTCAACATGAAGGCATCACTTACGGTACAATAGCCTCTTGGATGTTGCCCCATATCTGTTTGCCAGCCATGATAATGGTAAGCTGTGTTGTCAGCTCTATCAGGCATCCTGCAGGATCACACTAATGAAACAAGGGTGGGGAGAGGAAGAAGAAACACATAATTGGTCTTTCCCTTGAAAACCACAGTGTTAAAGTAGAAGACAGGAACTCTTTACTAAGTAGTAAAAAAAGAAAGCAAAAAGAAAGAAAGCAAAACCACATGGGTTTAACCCTAAAACTGCTTACCTACAGAGCAACTGTTCTTGATTATGCCGAGAAATTAAACTGACTACAGCATTCACTATACTCCTCAACCTTACCCCCAAGTTGACACCAAAAGCCAGCAGAAAGTTTCTGCCAGAAAAAGAGAACAGCAGGACCAAAAAAGAAGCTTTCCAGTGCTGGGCTTGTCATCTTTTGTTTTAGGAAAACTAAGGCAATGAGAATTGGTTAGAGAGCTGGGTCAGGGGTGAGAGGTTGAATTATGTGTATACCAAGTATTGATGTAAAGCACCTATTTTTAATATTAAAAAGCCAGCAGCCAAACATCTGACTGGCTGTTTCAAATCAACAGGCGACCCCTCGTTTCTGTTCCTGGGATGTGCAGCTTTTTTTCTGTGCCCAGCCTCCCAATTTTACTTCTGTCAGGTTCCTCATTCTTGCCTTCTCTTCTTGCCCACATTCCTCTGGACAGCTCAACCCAGGGAAGTAACCTGTCCCAACCTTCATTTTCTAAAGTTCCATGGATTCTCTAGGGCAGCAATCCTTCTTCTCAAGTTCTTGGCTCCTGCCTTCTTCTGCCCTCCCTTCCATGGTCTCTCTGACTTCTCTGTCCCTTTCTAAGATCTGAACACCTCAACTAATGGCAGCCAGAGACTCAGAGGAAGGGAGCTAGGCTGACTTGCTTCCTTTGCCTCAGACCCGGTTAGCTGTACAGAGGAGTCTTACGCAGAGAAGGTATATCCCACTATTTACCTAAGGTCATCTTCTGAGGAAGCCCCCTGAAAATTTATCCATCACATTTTGTAGGGGCAATTTCACTGATAGGGAACAATAGATTTCAGCCTATCAAATCCAGAAGCTCTTTCTCCTACCCCACCCTGTCATTAGAGTGGCTTAGTCTGTCGGTGGCACTGTCAGCACCATCACAAAATCCCTTAATACTATATAAATTTATGATTTGGGAAGAAAGGGAGAGGCAAAGCCTTAATGCCAGAGTGAGACTATTGTTCTCAGAGAGCCAGTCTGTTTCAGCAGTTTACTCTTGAGTTATATAATGCAAGGACCTTTGTTTGCAGATAGCACATTCCAAAACATACACTGAGAAACACATAGACAGGCATCTTCTACTGCATCTTATGTACATTTGTGACGTTTTCCTGGCTTTTTATTCAGAATATTGTGTTGTTTTATTGGCTTGTCTTTACAAAAATGAGGGTGGTTAGCAATTACTTCCTTAATTCACTGAAAAATGACCCCATACCTCTTCATTTCTCCAGCGATCAAACATGTATGTGTAGTGACCCGGGTACCCCACAAATTTCCCTTTGAAGAAAGCCACGTAGAAACATGAAGAATAATAGTTGACAAACTGAAACAGGAACATCTTCATGGTGAGTCTGTTCTCATATTCAAGGTGAGTTCTTGGGATCTCTACAAGGTCAACAAAATAAACAAGGGTTTTTTTCTGCACCATGCACAGCAAACAAGGCTACGGCAAACACTGACAATTTTGAATTTGGCTGAAGCACTGCAGAGCTATTAGGTATGAAAAAGAACAGGGTTTCCAAAAGAATACTGCAAGACCATTCACTGCATTTTTATGCCAGCAGAGGGCAGAAGCTATAGAACAGTGAGTCAAGTCTATAGCCTCTCTATGCAAGTGGCAGGACTACTGCAGAATTATTCCTACAGGTGAACAATTAAATTCTTCCAAATTTAAAACACATTATAATTATTATTTCCACTGTGGAAAAATGAATGCAGATTAAAACATTTCCATTTACCAGCTATAATTGGGGATCATCATCTTAGCTCAGGAAGCACTTATTTTAGGATTATTCTAAATGCTTCATTATCCCATTATTTACTGAAAAATTTATCTGAACAACAAACATCACTCTAGTGTGGTAGTTAATGACACAAATGGAATTCGTGGTCCAAATCTTAATCGTAAGGTTTGCAAATTGTAATAAATGCTCACATAAGCAGCCTACTCATATGAAAAATGTAAAATCTGGAGAGGTGCGTCAAGAAAAATGTCAGTTGTGGATGGTATATTATTATGGAAGGGGAGAAACGCTCTTCCATGAGTTCCCTACAGTGATGTTACACTCCTAATAAGTAGTTATTAGCATGGTCAAGCCAGCTGCAATAGTGTACAAGCTCTTCCTCATAAAATCACAGAGCTAGGATGCAGCTGTGGATAATCTAGGAACAAAGCTACATGATACAGAGGGAGGTCTCAAAAACAGTTTCCCAGGAATGCTAGCCAACTTGGCCAGATGGAAAAATTGTATAAATATTCAGCTTCTGGTTGCCAATAAACTCAGCATTTCCACCACAGGGACAGAAATATATCCCTGACAGTTCTGTCTTTATGCAACATACCTACCCATATCTGTGATCCAGATGGCTATCCTCTCATACAAGAAATTCAGTATCATAATGATGACAAAATTCAGGCATGAAGCAGTGACCGATGTTGCCAGTTGTGGTGTCAGGATACCTTGAATAGGCTGCAAGGTTTGTGCATTCTCCATGATGCTGGCAAAAGCAGCATAGACGGCAAGGCGGTAAACTATCACAGCTATCATACTAGCTATGATCAAAAAGATCTGAGAGAAACCACAGAGGTTTAAGAACAATGACATCATATCAGAAACAGCCTTTAATGCTTTATACTATATAGCAAGCATGGGGAATCCATGGCCCTCCAGCTGTTGATGGACTCCAAGTCCCATCAGCCCCAGCCAGAATGTCCAATGGAAATGATGGGAGTTGTAGTTCAGCAACATCTGGAGGACCACCAGTTCCCTAACTGTACCATATAGGACTCTAAGGGCCAAACTACACATTGAGAATAATAGTGTAGTATGGCCCCATCGGGACTGTATCACTTCAGACTGCAAGAGGGAGGATGTGTGTCTATCTGAAGGCTGATCTGATGTTCATCCAATGTATTCTTCTTGCAAGTAAAACCCAAGTACATCAGGGTGAGAGCCAAGCCAGACCCTATCCACCTGATGCACTGTTATTTTTGTGTCTTTCAGTTGATATTTGCTACCAACAGTTGTGTGTACTGGATGTGATGCTGTGATAGTTCTGCATCTACCTCCAGGGTCAGTTTCAGAAAGCTGCAGTGGGGAGCTTCTGCTCAACCACCATGGCACTTGTGTCGTAGAGTCCTACATGGCTCTGTTTTATGCCCCCATGCTCTTTCTCAAACTGCTCGGTAAGGTAATCTAACCTAGATCTATTTCTCTATGTCATGTGAGTCAAGTGAGGCTCAGCCAATGCCTGGATTTGGAAATGGACAGATGAGGGTCAAGACTGAAGCTGAATCCTGACAAGACAGAAGGACTGTGAGCAGGTGATTCTTGGGTCTGAGAGACAGATGTTCAGTGTGTTCTGGATGGCACTGCACTCCCCCTAAAATAGCACACATGGAACTTGAGTGTACTCCTTGATTTAACATTGCCACCTGATGCCTTAGCGGCCTTGTCTTTTAACATTTTTGCCTGGTTCTCCAGCTGCATCTGTTCCTGGCCAGAACCTCTGGTAATATCCTGGATGGATTAGACACATTATACATGGGGCAACCCCTCAGTGTTATACACAGGGCTGTCCTTTAAGACTATATAGAAGCTTCAATTAGTGAAGAACGCAGCTGACACAATTTTAACTGGCTCAGCCCAGTTGATTCACAGTACTCTGATTCAGAAAGAATTGTCTCGGCTACATGGTCACAACTGGGACCAGTATTCAAGATGGTGATATGTACTTGTAAAGTCTGAAATGGTTTGGGTCCTTTTCTGCAGTGGTACTCCAACTCTGGAACACCCCCTTCAATGCTGGTAAGCCTTTTGCTGACATTGTAATATTTCTGGTGCCTCTTGTATTTGGCCAAGCATTTCAAAGGGCTATGTTTGCTTTTGCTTTTTGTAGCTTTTCCTGCCTATTTGTTTTCAAGGTTGGTTGTTTTTAATTGTGTTTGTGTTTCATATAAGTAATTGTTTATGCTTATTGCACATTGCCCTGGAAACCGCTAGATGAAGGGAAATTTAGAAATAAGTAGAATAAATGTAATCATGTCTTCAATCTAAAGTGGTATAGTCCCAACAGAGCAGTAATATTGTCTTTTTCTGCTTAGCTTGTCTGTTAGTACACCAAGCAAAATCATGCAAAGCACACTAGTGGCATGCTGTTTCAAAATCCACCAATATCATGTTACAATTTCATTGCATAGATATGGTAGTATTATAAACATTTGTGTTTATAACACATTATCCACATACTAAAGATCTCTCAATTTTTTTCTGTATTGAAATAGAGAAAGTTGAATTGATTCAGACGTAAATGATGCAATCCAGAACCCAATTTCTCCAGAGTGTTTTGGTCAATAATAAATGACTACAGGTTATAGAGAAATTTTATAATCAAGCATTTGAACAATTCAAAATAGGGCAAAATTCCCTTGGTCTACAGATAACTACAGAGACTGATTATCTAGATCTGGTTTCAAGCCTAGTTATGCAACAGAGGCCCTGTGCAAGGAACTGTGCAAGGACAGTGTGTCCCTGTTGGCTCTGCTAGACATCTTGACAGCTTTCAGTCCATCAAACATGGTATTCCTCTGGGCCACCTTGCAGGGATGGGACTTGGAGGTACTATTTTACAATGGCTCTGCTCCTTCCTGGAGGGACTCCTGTTTGACACCTTGGACATTGGCCTGCAGAGTCCCTCAGTGTTCTCTTCTGTCCCTTGTGCTATTTAACATTTACATGAAACCACTAAGAAAGGTTGTCTGGAGTTTTGGGGTTCATTGTCACCAGTATGCTGATGACCCAGCTCTATTTCTCCTTTCCACCAAAATCCAAGAAAGCAGTCTCAGATGCAAACCAGCGTGTGTCATCTGTAATGGACTGGATGAGGGCGAACAAATTGGAACTTAATCTAGACAAGACTGAAGCACTATTGGTCATTCAGAAGGCAGAACAGGGAATGGGGATTCTGCTTGTGCTTGATGAGGTAACACTTCCCACAAAGACAGTTTGGGTGTGCTCCTGGACTCCAGACTGAGCATGAATGCCCAGGTTTCCGCAGTGGCCAGGAGTGCATTTGCACTGTGCCAACTGCACCCATTCCTTGAGATATCTCAATTGGCCACAGTGACACATGCCTTAGTTACCTCCTAATTGGATTAGGCTGTAAAGCGCTCTAGATGGGGCTGCCTTTGAAAAGTGCTTACAAACATCAACTGGCTCAAAGAGATATGATCAGATTATTGACCAGAGATAATTATAGGAAGCATAACCCTTTAGGGAGCAGTGGAACAGCTCCACTGTCTACCAGTCTGTTTCTAGGCACAATTCAAAGTGGAGGTTATGACCTTTAGACGCTACATGGCTTAGGTCCAAGCTACCTGAAATAATGTATTCCCTCATACAAACCTGCTCAGGTTTTGAAATCTTCAGGAAAGGTCCTTTTCTTGGTCATGCCACACTCATATGCATGGTTGGTGGGGACACAGTAAAGGGCCTTCTCAATAGATTCTCCCAGACTCTAAAACTCCCTCCCAGGAGGAGCTAGACTGGCTCCCTCCTTGTTGTTCTTTCATCAGATGGTAAAAACTGTCTTGTTCCAACAGGCTTTTGGGAACTGCTTTTAATGAAAGGGCTGGTGACATACCATTTTTACTGTAACTATTTGCTTGTTCTAAACATATTTAATACACGTATATAGTTTAATTCTATCAGTGTTTAATTGTTTTTTAATTATTATTTTTCTATGTTTTTAGTGATTCTTGTTTTTATCTGCATGCTGCCCTGAATCCCATCAGGAGAAAAGGTGGGGTTTAAATAAATACAATAATAATAACAACACAGTCAGTGGCATCTCATAGATGTCATCTTAAAAGTAGGTTCCATTGAATTCAACAGAGGTTATTCCCAGGTATGTGGGTATAAAACTGTAACCTAAGTCACTATATTCATCATCATGAATAATGGACAACTAAATAAAGTCAAATGGATTGATTTGGCAGAAGAGAGAGTTATGGATTGTATGCTATACGATTCAGTGTGTACTTTGCATGACACTAAGAAAGAAGAATGTTAGTTACAACCCCTTGTAGCCAGAAGCACAGAGAGAAAGATACCAACAGCAAAAGCATTAAGGCATGTTAAAATTCAAGCTTAAAAAGTGATGCATTGCTTGTTATGCATTACAGTGATGATTCAAAAGGATGCTCACCCAGAACAACACTGTCGTTCCCGAGATGCAGAATCGTATAGCCTGGCTAGTTAAAGGCAAGTAAGGCTCCAACTCCTGAAACAGTCAAGCAAGCACAGCACATTTCACCTCCCGCAGACATATTCTTACACTGAACACTGCAGAAAGCAACCTCAACCACTGTGAGAAAGCAAACACACCCCAAGAAAATAGTTTTTACACTCCCAAGGAATGCATAATGTAGCACATTTCATCTTATGGGAGAAAGACAGAAATGGAGGAGTCCATATGTAGATGAGAAGCCAGTCATCCAGAGCTTTTAAGACCTTGCCAAATTTACAAGACGGCCAAAAGGCCATTTTTGTTTTCCTTCTCTGTGATCTTCTGAACAGAAGGGAGTGAATGCAGTTCAGTTTCCAATATGCCCAAATTACATGACAGGAAAAAAATATGTATGTTTGGACTGGACTAGCTATTGCTGTTAAGTGTTGTCCTCCATTCTCTCAGGTCTTTTCATTGCTTTCCCACTTGAAGAAATGGCTCTTTCATTAGTTGCCACTCTAAGCTGCTGAGTTCACGCAGCCCTGTCTTACCCAAAACAAAATTCCAAAGTACAACAAGCTCAGTTTCCCATAGTCATGTATGCTCTTCCTCTTAACCAATTCTAATTCCTAGAACAGCAGACCAGACAATTTAAAAAGCAGTAATTAAAGCACAGAAAAGATTTCACTGTACCACCATCACCTGATACTAGTGCTACTCATGTCTGCAGCTATCTAACCAGGAAGCATCCAATTAACCAGAGTTTCTCATTTCATCCAAGCCAGGAAACTAGGGCCACCACCATCAGTTTAAATGCAATGAGAAACTATGGTTAATTGGAGACTTCCTGGCTTGATTGTTGCACAACACAAAGGGAAGAATGGAAGCAATTTATAACAAAGGTAAATGGTTATGTCCAGGCGTTAAGGCTAAGGCCTATGCAGCTGTAAGCCCTTTGCTGCCTCTCACCTGCGAAAGCCAGTGGAAGGAGATCAAATAGGCAGAAGGGATGACAACAGAGAACTGAGCACATTTCAAACCTGGCATCGCCTCTGGAGATGTCTGAGCTCAGTTCAAAACTGGCTTAAGGTGTCTTCCAGAAAAGTGTTGTTCAACCGCACACACTCCTCCCCCATTTTGAAGTTCAGTACCATCATAAGTAATAATCTCCATGAGAGCAGATCATAACCCACTGTGACCTAGCTTAATGCTTTAAGATTGATTACAATGTTGCTAGACCTGCGAGTTAATAAAGAGGGCACAATTCTGATATAGGTCTATGGAAGTGCAAAATGACCGGTGACCAGCAAAAGTCTCAAATTAGTGTAAGTAACAATGAAGTGTAGTTGTACAGTTGAAGAATATCAGTGTTCTTTTCAATCTGCAGATATAATCTTTAGAGCCTCAGATCCTTCACATTTTCATTGTCTAATGTAACACAGCAAGAACATTCAACTATAATTTGGTTAATCATTGATTTCTTTCATATCTGGACTGCTGACTGGATGTTTACAAATTTCTGTAACCTAGAACCTTGACAAATAGATAATAGATGATTTAAAGGAGAGGGAACAAGGTTTTAGCTTTCTTTTTTTTAAAAAATGTAACTAGGAATTAAAGCAAGTGACTTGTAATGATCAAACACATATTTAAGAATGTCAACACATTTAGACTTCTCATTCTTCATGAGCTTCATGTACAAAAGGAAATATCTAAGCTAGGATAGATAATAATATGTAATATAAATCAGGATTCCTCTAACTTGTAACTGTGCTCAGAGGATACCTTCATTTTGTCCCAAAACATTTTGCCAATCCATTGTAAAGATACTGCAAAATCATCAACTTGCTGATTCTAACTGATATGTTTTATTTCCTTTGCTTTATTTTTATTTTTATTTTTTTTTACTTTCTATTTTCCTGCAGTTGAGCAGCTTTGACGGAAAGGCAGGATAGAATTTAACAAATAAATAGATACATTAATATTACATCCAATGTAATCACATTAAGACCAGAGAATTGTTCCTTAAAGCACCAGAGTTCCATCATAAGGATCAGGCTTAGTGAAACAGACATTTATTGCATCTGAAGTAGAATTGTAGCCATTTTGTCTGTTATTTTTCCCCTTTGGTTTAGCTGCCCAGAAACTCACGGCATGCAGACAAAAGCTTATCAGCAATTCAAACACTCAGAAGTAGCACTTGCTGTAGGGCCCTAGGACTGTTTTGCTCCAGAATGCAGGTGTGAAAACTGCATATTTGAATGCCTCCACATCAAAAACTACCTATACTTAGAGAACTACTTTTCAGGGGAAAAGCTATGTAGAAGCTTTCCGTGTTCAGCATTTTTAGGGGTATGGGATAGCATTCAAACATGCAACTGTTAAGCTGTATTCTGAACCAATATAGTCTCAAGGAGAGCAACATAAGCTTTTTTTCCTCAATGGTTGAACCAATTCCTAGAGAAGAACAAAGCAGTTAAATTTGCCCTCTTGAGCTCCTGCCTTTCCCTACTGGAATGATATATCTTCTTCTTCTTTGGCGATCACTTGTAGCCCAGTAAGATTGTCTTCTATAAACATGGTTTTAACAATGAGTCCGTAAGTGACTGTGGATAACAGCATTTGAAGAAAGCCTGATTCTTTCCTAATCCATTTTATATTAGTCATTGGATCCCAGATGTTAACCCTAAGCACCGGCAGTTGATTTGTCACCTTGTTCTGAATCATTTACAGAATTATAACTTTCTGGACCCTGTCAGAACAACATGCTTGTGTAATGTTCTGGCATAATTCCTTCTTAAGCACTTAAGAGATGGCATAAAAGGTAAAGGGACCCTTGACCATTAGGTCCAGTCGCCAACGACTCTGAGGTTGCGGTGCTCATCTTGCTTTACTGGCCTAGGGAGCCGGTGTACAGCTTCCTGGTCATGTGGCCAGCATGACTAAGCCACTTCTGGCAAACCAGAGCAGCGCACGGAAACGTCATTTACCTTCCCACCGTAGCGGTACCTATTTATCTACTTGCACTTTGACATGCTTTCGAACTGCTAGGTTGGCAGGAGCTGGGACCAAGCAACGGGAGATCACCCCATCGCGGGGATTCAAACCGCCGACCTTCTGATCAGCAAGCCCTAGGCCACAGAGCCACCCACATCCCACAAGAGATGGAAGACTTCGTCTTAAATATGCAATGGGTAACTGGATCTTATGTATCCCCCAACCTCCATGTGATTTTTGTCTTCTAATGCTCAGGTTACCTGCGTTACTGGATTCTTCCTTTTTTGAGTACATTTTGCTTCATACTCTGGCCTCAGTTGGAGCTGTTGCTGTTCCTCCTCAAAATCAACTAGATCCCATTCATATTCAAGTCGAGCTTGCCGACGCTTCCAGAACTCCAAGAAAAGTGTGACTGCAATGAATAGAGTATGGTGCAAACAAAAATAAGAATAAGAAATGTCTAGTAGCAACTGAGCAAAACCAACATTCCCAGATAATACTTTCTCTATTATCTTTGTGATGGATTTGATGTCTATACAGTACATCAGTTACATAAAAAACTACTGCAGATTCCCTGGAGAAGCCATTTTTCATTTTGATGGAATTTTTGGAGCTGTGACAAAGTTAGTCAGATTCATTACTGTCTGTATATTTTTGCACCTTGAGGGTTGTACCACTCCATGGGATTTGGTGTGCTTAAGAATATGGAAGCGCTGTTTAGTTCCATTGAAACCAATAGGACCCAAGTTATCTAAAACATGCTTAACTTACTGTGGATCAAACCGAGTGAATTATTGCACATTTACATATATCATTACAGAATGATATTTATAGCATTCATACTATACTTACAGAGGCTGAGATCTAGAGTTGCTCATCCAAGAATAAAAGCAACTCCAATCCAGCAAAGGTAATATCTGCCAATTCCCCCCTTTCCCCTGCAATCCCCCCATGTCACCTCCCACATAGTTCAGAGCTGAACATTTGGGGGGGGCATGTGGCGCTGTGGTCTAAACTACTGAGCCTCTTGGGCTTGCTGATTGGAAGGCCAGCAGTTTGAATCTGTGTGATGGGGTGAGCTCCCATTGCTCTGTCCCAGCTTCTGCCAACCTAGAAGTTTGAAAGCATACCAATGCAAGCAGATAAATAGGTACCACTATAGATGGAAGGTTTTCCATTGTGCCCGAACCGGTTTATTCATGTTGGCCACATGACCCAGAAAGCTGTGGACAAATGCCGGCTCCCTCGGCCTGAAACGAGATGAGCACCACACCTCATAGGCACCTTTGACTAGACTTAACCATCCAGGGGTCATGTACCTTTACCTTTTACTTTATGTTTACAGAGGGATTCATGGAGTCATGAGCTCTCCCTCTTCCCCTTTCTACCAGTAGAAGCATCCAGTGAGTGAACATTTACTCACAGGACCAAGTCATAGTCTTGTTGTCAAAAGTGCCATTGACTTGCATGCAGTAAGAGACAAAGCTAAAGCTGACCCACATGGCTTGAGTGTTATTTAAGTAGCACTAACAAATATACTCACCCCAGATCCCCATAAAGATTGCAAAAAAGAGGGTCGCCACATTATCAAACAAATGGGAGTACTGGAATAAAAACACAAATTAACAATTTGAATGAAAACAACCATGGGAAAGCTATTTTTTAAAAACAAAAATTGCAGCAATGACTACAGACCTCTGAAGACTCACACGTGGAGTTCAATCTCCAGTAATCACATTTTTGATCACATAGTGGGCACATGATAATCTTTCCCCCAATTTCGGAGTCACATATTTCTTGGCTGAAGGGGACAGATAAAAGATATGTTGTATTTAATTAAGCAATAGACAGATAAATTGTGTTTTTGTGCAGATGCTAATATTTGACTTTACAAAAGGAATATAGAGAAACAGTTCCCTCTCTTTCAGTGTGCAATATTCAGCAGGGCCATACCCACAATAATGTAGTGGCACATAGTTCTACATCTGGATCATATGTTTCTGTACAGTGGCTCACAGGATCACTGCACACAATGTTACAGAAGGCAAGGGGACTCAAACTTTTCAAAGAAAAAATTGATCCACAACAATTAGCAGTGAAGTGGACAGGACAGGACAGCTGTCATCAGTCAACTGGTCATGATTCAATCTAACCAACATGACTATGTTAATTACTCTTACCTACTCATATTTTCATTCATTGTGAATGCACCATACAGGAAACAGATTAATCCAACGATAGCGGCAAAGAACAGCATCTCAGTGTAGAACCCCAGCCAGGCAAAGTAGATTCCAATCCTCTCCCCATAATACTTCCTGCGGGAAAGTAATGTGGAATGGAAAGTAAAGGAATGCAAGAAACAATCAGCATCTTTAAAAGGGGGAGGAAAGGGGAGAAAAGCTTGGAAGACTAATTGCAAATAAAGATACAGGGCTAGATTTGGATGACAAGTTTTCAGGCAAAATTCAAAGGAATGCTACTGAGTTGACTATAAAACAATTCTCAGAATTTCTTGTTCTTATTTGTGCCCTAATTACATAGATAGCTAGTTTTTGCTCTGCTCATGTGTTGCCGAGCAACCAGATATGATTCTCCCTCCCCTCATTTTGATTTTAAAGCTGCCTTAGACCCTGGCATGAAGCCATGGAAGTGATGATATGAACATGTCCAGTGACAGCACCTTTAACATCCACAGAATGTTGTTTAGCATAATTGGTCAAACAGTTAGTTGGGAATATGCATATAGAAGCTGAACACCAGAGAAAAGGAATCTAACAGTTCAAAGTACATCCTTTTACAGCTATACATTGACATTGTACCCTCACCTAAAACAAAATGAAGCATTTGGTGGGGGGTGAGGGTTACTTGGAAAACAAATCTGATTTGTATAGGACACTCACTGCAACCAGAAAAGAGGGCTTTACGGTGTGGTGTACAGAGACACAATATTGACACCTGTACTGGGATGGTTCAAATATTTCATGCAAAACATTTTTCATTCTTTCTGCTTTTGAATGTTCCAATGATGATCTTGGTACATACAGGTCTCCCAGCTATCTAGCTATATATCTCAATTTCCATGATTTGAAATTATATCCCATTGGATACCCTCCCAAAGGAGCCCAAGGCAGCAAACAACAAGGCACCAAAATAACACAGTAGTGGGGTTTTTTAATTAAAAAACGACAACTAAAAACAGTTATATATCTTCATTTTCAAGGTTGCTGGAAACCATTTTTTTCAGCCATTAAATGCCTGGTTGAGCAGGGATGTTTTAAGATTCCTCTAGAGTGTTGATAATGAGGGAGACACCCCACCCCACCAGGGAGGACAGCCCACAAATGGAGAATGGCCAATGAGAAGGTCCTGTCATGGGTCAGCAACAACAGGGCAGCGTGAAGTGGCAGCACCACCAACAGGGTCTCTCCTGTGAATTGCAGTGCCTGAGATAGTGGGCCTTGGGAAAGATGCTCTTTTAGGCACATGGCCCCCAAGCCATTTAGGGCACTGGTACTAATACCTTGAATTGGACCGAAGAGCTCACTGGCAGCCAGTGCAGCACTTTCAGGATTGACGGAACATGGTCCTATCAGGATGCCACACTCAACAATCTAGCATTCTGCGTTAGCTGCAGCTGCCTGACCAATTTCAAGGTCAGTCCCATGTAGAGCACACTGCAGCAGTCCAAGCAGGAGGTCATTAGATTATGGACCCCTAAGGCCATTTTACAATTTTTGAGGTTTCCTTGAACTATGAAATAATCTACAAATTAAAGTAGGTAAATATTGCAAGGCAATGCAAAAGCTGGCGCTTCCATTAAGAGAAGCGTACTCAATTGCTCACCTGATAAGATCCAAGGGCTGTTCTTTGAAAAAACGAGGAAACCTTGCCCATTCTCTGTAGAGGGTGTACCTTTCATTTTCACACTTCGGGTCATTTGCCCTCTTCCAGTACTGGCACTGTGTCAGCGTGGACAATGGAATAAAGCAGAAATAAAACAGATCAGTAAACGGCAGCATGTGTTCTGCAACACTAGTTCCCCCTAAATATGTACCAGGATAATATATGTAGAAATTGGTATAATTCTATGTATATGACAGGCTGGGGCGGGTGGCAACAAATAGCTATTTATAGTATTAAGACCAACAACATGGGCATTCCTTAAGAACAAGCACACTTAATCTGAAACTTGGGAACTGCATCTCTGCCAGGTCTAAATAATACATACTTTAAAACTTAACTGACTGTGGGGCAACAACAAGCAGGAGTGGATGGCAGGGAACTAACTACGCTGGCACCCCTGTGGCTTACCAGGAGGGATTCTGATGTTTCACTTGAAGGAATCTCTACCTTGTTATGCAGGCAGGTCCATGCAACTGCTTAATTTTTTTTGAGCAATTAGGAATTAAAATGATCATTTTGTACTATTTTATATTCCATTGCATATATTGTTGCATTGTATATATTGCTGTTCTTGTTATGTCACATGAACCGGCACTGTGCAAGTATTTTTATGAATACATAAAAGGCCACAATTTCCTAACATAGTTTCTAAAAACAATTATGCGCCCCATTCATATATAAACTGCTAAAAAGAAAATCCAAAAATGGGCTCCAGTGAAGCACTTGTTGTATGCCGCCAGAGGGCGCTTTGACACTAAACTTTAACCCAGCAATAACTATCCCAGTTTGACAGCACAGTTGTAATTAACCTTCTTCCCTTCCTCGCTCTTTTCCCGAGGCTTGCACAGGTGTTATGTTACGTTATGTTATGTTGTAAGCAGTTTCCCATAGCAGTAGTCACAATTACAGAGAATCACACATATTATGTCTTCCCCAGGAGATGTTACTTAAAAACAGATAAACTGAGATTTGGAAAACAGGGAAGTACTCTGAAATGAATGAATGAATGAATGACAAAAAAAATAAATAAATACCTACATCATGAAGAGGATAAGCAGCAGTGTAGGTGCCATTATTCAAGAGCCGTTTGATTCCAAACTTCTTTTTCCCTTCTTCTGTTCCATATGGACACCTTGTTAAAATATAGAAAACCTAAAAGAGGGAGAGAGAAACCAACCCCACAGTTTAAAATGACTATACTATGATTATCAGGTAATCTAATTTTCCTTCGCAACTGTTCTTCACCGCAGTGCGTGAATACAAAACATTTTCCACACTCCAAAAATAGATATGTTAGTCAAATAAAATTGTATTTGACCTTTAAACTAATTTATTAACCCATTGCCTTTACAGACTAAAATACTTCAATATAAGGCTCCAGAACGTTGAATTGCACCTCATGTGTGCTGATGTGTCGGAAGTACTCACAATTCTGTTCCTGACAGACGGGGAGAAAAATGTATTCTCATCTTCAATGAGGTAGAGTTCCTGCCGTTCTTTGCTGAATGGGGCTGTGAAGTAATCTGGTTCTGGGTGCATCACAATTTCAGGCAGTCTAAATGGCCAAGATATCCAATCCAAAGGGTTTTCCGCAGTACAAGGGATATCATTTTCTTTGATGGGCATTTTTATGCTCAGCACTTCAGCATATGTGATCAGAACCTCCCATGGCGCATGAATCTTCACAAAGTAAGTTTTGCCATTGTCAGATTCCTACAAAGGAAATGATAAGGTTTGAGGTTAAAATAGGCAATACTTTCATATTCATACATCTTTAAAGAAGCTTCACATTAAATACAGATATCATCTATGGGAGCTAGGGCCACTGCATCCACATGGTAAGCAAAAACAAGAATACTTTGGGTGGTACTGAACTCCTGTGACCTGCCAGCGCAAAGATTTCCACATGGGTAATAAGACCTTCTCTCCTTTTTTGCACCCTCCACTATGAGCATCCTCTGCCCTCACTAAATCTGCTCCAGAAGGCAACTCCTGGAACAGATTTTTTTTTGGGGGGGGTGCAGAGTGAAGAGAAAGGGAGAACATTTCATTACCCATCGAGAAATCCTTCCTCTGATGAAATGAGAGACTTAGTGCTACATTGGACTCTAGCATAAATATTTATCTAGCCTTTACCACCATTTTTAATCCACCATTACAAGTGTTTCTGGGCGATATACATTTCTTAAAAAACAAAATACCATAAAATATAAACATGCAAAATAAACCTTTAAAATATTTTTTAAACTTCAGACCAGAAACAAGCCCTAAAAGGCATATTTTGAACATAATGAGAAAGTGCAGTTTAGAAAGCATGTGCTTTTATTCTATGTCAAACCGCCCTGTTTGCTATTCATCTCATTACTCTTCTAGGTATTTGATAGTATTTCTTTTGGACTATGATGTATAAAATGTTAAGTTACATTTAAATCTTGCTGAAACCAATAGTGCTAACTTGTTCTATTAATCCCAGTGGGAGTCAATCATGACTAATCATCTACAGGCAAAATGGGGGAATAATCAAGACCAAGAGAAGTTAGTTGTGCTCATCAGAAGTGGTCTGTATTCTGTCTCCATACAAAACCTTTATTTAGACCAAATGCCTGAAGATTTTCTGCATGTACAGCTTAATGCCCTTCTAGCCCTTCCTTTTCCTTTATTGTAGGCCTTTAACAAACCTCCCACTGATGATAGCCGAAGGATTACACCTTATCAACAATATCTACAAAGAGGCTCTATTTCAATGGGGCTACCCTTTTCATCTCCCCGTACCCCTGCACAACAAAGGATAATGGGCCCAAACAAACCCTAGGCACACCTGGAATCAGGAGATCTCATAATCAGAGCAATTGCCATACTTTGAGTTAACAAAGTGAAATTCCTCGGCCTTGAAACTACTCGCTGAGACTTCTCCTATAGAAGCATTGTTGTTGCAGCTGGACTGTGCAGTCTCCTGATCCCAGGTATGTCTTGGGCTTGCCAGGCAGAGGAGCAGGGATATCACTGTAGCAGCTCTCCATGTTGTTAGGCATTGCAGGGTTTTGGATGACACCTAAAGGTCACAGAACCTCTCCAGGAATGGAATGCATCAGTATTATTTTCTGATCAGCATCTAGCACGCTGTTAACAAATCTTAAACATGCTGCTGGCAGGGAGGTGAAAGATGCCGCAATTCAATAGACATTCTATTTCCTAGCAATTTCTAAGCAGAGTTCTTCATCCCCCATCTAGTTTAAGCATATGTTCAAGAAGTAAGAAGGCATAATAATGCTTCGTTACCTTCTTGTCTTCAGTTTCTAGTTCCAGGCCAGCCTTCTCTAGATTGTTCTCAAATTCTCGTCTCCGTTCCTGAAGGAAAACAAAAAGCTCTATTAAAATAGTAGGTGCATTTAAATCGATAAATACCTGTTATGTGTCAACGAAATGTTCTCAAGGGCAGCCCAATACAAATCACAGTGCAATAGTCTAAAAATGATATTACCATTCTCTTGATGACAGTAACCACATCTTGGGTCAAAAAGAAGAGAGATCATAGCCAGCTTACTAGCCAAACTGTCAACTGGCCATGGCTGCTCCCTGGACATCCAGCAGCAGAAAAGGCATATCATTTAAAGGGATGTTTTTCTAGCTAGTTGAAAATGTCCCTGCCTTAGGTGACCATTTTGCATTGTTTTCTGTTTTATGGTAGGACTATAAATCACGTGTAAAAGGCAGTAACTAAACAAACAAAAATAATATTTATCAGCACCTATTTAGAATGACTTGAACAGTTTCCTTAACAGACTTCCTGTTTGATATTGTAGACCCATCCCAAGTTCACCCCCAGGGTAACAGTTGAAGGCAGACTTCAATTTCACATGGTACAGTTTTATGAAGATAAAAAATAGGCACCAAAGTCCAGTGATTAAAGTTAATGATTCTGAAAGAAGTTTAATATAATGAACAGATAATACATGTTATCTTAGAGAAAAGTTGTGCTATCAATGTAAAAAGAAGTTCACTTTCAGATAACAGTGCTGTTTGCTCCTAACCTTCAAACAGTCAGCAAAGTGATAACATGTTTACAGTGCATGTATTATAATTCAGGGGTTCTCGTGCAAGGCTTTCGTTTTGTTACGACTCTTTGGAGGGCATCATCAATAGTCTCCCTTTCACATCTCTTAGATGTCCTACATTGTAAAGCATGTTTTGCATTTGTGATTACTGCCTACAAGATGGCACAGTCCACATGAGGGGGGGGGGGGGAGACAAACGGAACAGGGCCTTTTATTTTAGGCAAATGATTATTACCATTTTGGTTCTTTAGTAAAATCAACAAGACTAGCACCAGGAAAATCTACTAGGTGGACAAACCATAAGTGAAAATGATATGTGCAACAGTGGATAAATTCCCAATAAATTCCAAATAAATATGCTTAGGCATGCACTAGAGCGTGTTGGCATGCAGCATTGAACCAACTCTTTCTATTAGACAGCATTTCAGCTTCTCGTTGATACATTTTAAGGTTCTGCTGAAAATGGAAATGATTTTTAAAAGTTTTCTTTGTATGAAAAATTAAGTGCTCCACTAGCATATGTCTGCAAAACAAAGCATACAGACTTCCAGACTGTGCAGCTCTCAGATGTTTTCCCAAGAATGCTTCTATTCTTAGCCCACAGAACATTGCCAAGTCACTGTGCTGCAGAAAGAGCAATGCATGAGATTTCCTAGCAGTTACTGTGCAGTATGACACTGCATGCATTTTCCCCCCAATCCTTAACAAAGTATCAAGCCCAAATCCATTATAATAGCAAAATAAAATAAAAATCCATTGTTAGAGTTCACTGCTTAAACGGGAGACGTTGCTAAGTAAACCTTTACATCTGACAACGCCTCCAGCTTTGCTTCTTCCAATGACATATAATTGGACTGAATGTATTCAGGCAGTGGGCAGATGTTAAAACTAATATCTCTGTTAAGATTAGTCAACCTTCTAGTTTATTTCCATAGAGTAACCCTCAAAAACATTCCAGATGATCTTCAGTCTGAGAGTTTTTAATGCAGCAAAAAGAAAATCACTTGTTACAGTTCCATGGTTTGGGCTTTTTAAACCAACAAGAAGTCAAGCTGGGGTCGACACAAACTGGGACAGGAAAGCAGTCTCTCCATAATTTTTTCTTTGAGGACTAGTTTGCTATCAGCAATGGCCTTGATGCTGTACTAAACTCTCCATTCTTCAGAAAGGAAGTCCTCACACAGTCTCAAAAAGAAAGGAACACAATAAACAACTCCCAAAGGAAAAAGACAGTGAAACTTGAACAGTGTTGCAAAAGCTCAGTCTTGCTGTCTGACTGCAACTGAAAGATTTAACTATGGATCTGCAAACTATCTTGGGTGCATAGGCCTCATGTACAAATGGTTCCTACCAGAGGTGAGACCACAGGATGATCTCTTTCCTAAGGATTACATACAGAATATGTGTATGTTATCTATGCATTTTTTTAATTGAGTAATTCTGTGCAGTAAAGGTTCTAATTAGCAAACTTAAGGATAACATGCCATGTATTATCTCGTCTCTTTACATTGCATTCTGAAAGCCATGGAACAATTGAGATACAAAAGTAATATGGCATATGTAGTGCTTTAAAAACACATCCAACCATCCTATAGTAGAACAGTTATCATCAAATTGCACAAGAACAGAAATACGACAGTGCTCAGTCTTTGGCATTAGTGATATGCTACACTGGATAAGGGCATCCAAATTGCTCATAGTCTAATCTTCAAACTGCCATCAGAAAACATGCAGAACAAGCCAATATAAAAAAGCAAAGGCAACCTAAAAAGCCAAAAACTTTCTAGTGCTGCATATTACAATGAGACTTAAGGTCATGTAAGCAAACCCCAGGAAACTGCCAAATGATTCAGTAAATGATCCAGTTATTCAGTCACTGGAGCCTGCAAGTCTTCTGCATTATTGCCTAAGACCATACAGACTTGTATGTTGAGCAACAGCTATTAGTCACATTGTGGGATTCATACATTGCTCACCTGATTCTACATAAGCCAGGGTCATAGCCAACTAAGTTTAAACTCACTGAAATTAATGGACATGACTAATTTAGGCCTATTAATTTCAATAATTAGAACGCAGTTGGAGAACCCCCTGGTCTCAAAGGGAAAATAGTATTATCAGTACAGGATGGTAGCTGGGATCTCTGAAGTACTGTTGTCCCAAGAAAATCATGTAGGGTTACACCACCAGAAAAGAGCCCTGACCAGGAAACCAATTTAGTATACAATCCCCTCTATTCATTGCCAAGTGATTGATTAGCAATAGGCAAAGCTGTCTCTGCTTTCTCTGTAGTGCAGAGGTAGCCAGTGTTGAACCCTATAAATGTTGTTGATAACTGCATGGCCAAGGGTGAGGAATGATAGAAACTGTAGTCTAAGCATCCGGAGAGCTCCACATTGGCTATCCCTGCTGTTGTCTATAACAGCTATATAACACAAGATGTGGTACAAAGTACCGAGGACAAAGTTCCCACCCCATCTTAGAAGATAAGATTATTTCTATGCTTTTGTGGATAAGGAAATCTAAATTGCTTACAGCCTGGTTCTCAAACTACTCTGGCAGCATTGTGAGTCACTAGATGGGTAAACAAAAAACATTTGCTGAAATGTTGTTTATGATTAGTGTACTGGACCCCTGAAAATATATAGTATCTTATGTAAGCTATGCAACAACATATGTTTCCAATACATTTGGAAATAAATTGTTTTGATTATAAAGGCAAGTCACATTGAGATGGAGGTCTATTTAATTTTTTCCTAACAGTGTTTCAGGGCTCCATGACCTTGAGTTTTCTTGCAAAAAGTCAGTGTCTAAGCATACATTCCTCTCCTACATTGAGAGAGGAATCCAACATTGCAGTGAGGCAATCCTTCTGTCAGGTCAAGCATTTTGGCTTGCCAAACAAAACAATTCCCCCTCTTCTCCCCACACATGCTGTTTCAGTGTTTCTCCCAAAATCCCCCAGAACCAATTTCAGGGGGCATGCGGAAAAGGGAGGGGCTGTTGCACAAGTGAATGTCCTTGCACAGAGCTTCTGCTGATAGGATTCATGAGTTGAATCCCTCCCAGAGACTTTTCTACCAGCAAGGGAATGAGGGATAGACCAAGAACACTACAGTACCTGAGCATTCCCATGTGTGCAATGAAGTACCAGTTGGCTAATTTCATACAATTAAGGGAAGCACGTGTGCTAGACATGACTGCAATCTCCAACATCAAGAGGAACTGCAAACAATCTTAATCTTGAGTAATTCACTAAGTCTGTTGTTGTTTCACTGACTATTTGAAGGGCAACACAAACTATGATTCTATGAACTGTCCAATTACACAAAATAGTGCTCAGACCTGCAGTCAAAATGGTGCTATCGTCATCAGAGAAAAGAAGCTGCTGCTCCCCACCCTTTCTTTTAGGATAACCACACGATTGCTGCAGCTCAACTGGCACCACTCAGCACATCTATACTTTAAAAGCTATATTATGATTATTTAGAAGATATATACAGGCATTAACAGAACTTTACACAGATAATATTAAATGTATAGAGCAGAATCATTAACAGTGAAGAATGCAACACTTAGAATGGCATCCTGACACTTCTGAAGAAGTAGATGCCAACTTAGAACAGAAATTCAGACAGAACTACATCATGCCTCAGTAAATTGCTAGGAGCTGGTATTTTCTGGTCATAAAAGAGGCAAAAACAGGAAGCAACCATTTGTTTCCCAATGTCATAAAATGTCAGAAAATGTCATAAAAGAAACTTACCACTTTTTTTTCTCCTTCTATTTTTGGATCATCTACATATGCAAGTACGAAGTCTATTCGCCGGACACCATCCCTGAAGAAAACAGAGTCCTTGCTTTGATGGCGTTTATCAATCTATATAGAATATAATGTACACTATTAATATTTGTGGCTGCTTATAAACATGGCAGAAAACCACACATCTTCCAGTTTGTTTCAAGCACTCAGTCTCCTATTTCTGAAAGAAGTATGAGATTTATGAAATAACTTGAGGGAAATGCTTCTTAATTCATGGATGTAATGTGTGTGTGTTTGTGTGTGTGTGTGTGTGTGTGTGTGTGTACTCTTTACATTTCCTCGCATTTGCCCTCTTCTATTAATCTCTAATTTCCAGACAGTCACTCACACTACTGACCCCTCTCCATGCATGAACAAGTTCACACACTCCCATACATCACAGATGTTTTCAAGTCACACATTTGACTGAATGAAATATATGAAAAAGAACATCTGAAGCCCATTGCACATAAATGTTATTCACCTGCCATACATCAGACATGTTAAATGCAACATACAATGACAAAAGACAACAATCTTTAAATTCTTTTTACATTTTGTCTAAATGTCTGCTTTTAGAAGCAATTGCAAACACTGAAAAGGTTATTTTAGTCCTAGCATAATTTTGTACTGTAAAATAATAACACTCTGCTGTTAAAAGAACACACTTGCAATATGTGAAAGCAGGAAGCACAGCAGTGGTTCTGAAAGTAAAGAAAACCTGTCATTGTTTTTTAAATAAATATTTAAGAAGGCAACAGACGCTTAGCAACAAAATCTAGCTGACTTTGGATTCTGCAGTAACAAATGTGGGAACAAATTTGGTACATAAGTAATGTTATAGAGGTACTTGCTTCCATAAAGACTCCATAAATCTGGGAGTGGTATCTTTTTCAGCTAGTTTTAATTTTATTTTATGCACTTAGAAGATTACTATTAATCGCATAGCTGTAAAGTGAGTTTCCTTCCGATTTGCTTCATAATTGGCTTGACTATTCTGAATTTCATTAGTGAAGTCTCAGGGCTTGCCCAAGAATTCTCCAACAAAACTTGGAAAGACCAAGTCAAGGAAAACTCCCTGTCAGTAGCCTTCTATTGCCAACCCTCCAGTACTGTGTCTCCCTCCGCTTCCCAAATGTACTGTGCAAGGAAATAGTGAGGGGGAAAAGTTGGCGATAAATTGGCAATTATATACCCTGGACAGCAGTGGGTGCCTTAAGCTAGAGGCTTCCTTTACTGCAAGGCCTTCTTAAAGCTATCTCATTACCAGAGTAAATTTGAGAATTTTTTTTGCACCAAGTCAAGTCCCTTATGAGTTAGGCTAAACTTCAGTAGGGACCTTGGATGGCATTGCAGGCAAAAAATATTTTTATTTAACCAGACACTGCCCTTCTGAGTCATTCTTCTCGGCTGCTCTGTGTTTTAAATTGAATTATGTTTTTAACTGGCTTCCGCTGTTTGGGTTTCTTATCTGATTTTACTGTACTATTGTTTATGGTGTGTGCAGTCAAGCCAATTGATTTTGTGGACTTTAGTGCTATCTGCCTTTGTAATTTTTTATGGATAGGTGGAGAACAAATGCAACAAACAATAAAATCCTAAGTTTACCTTTCTGAATTCCACTAGACTTGGTGCCATCAGTAGTAGCAGCAGCAACCATATATAGAAATTTAGGCTATATGTAATGCCAAATGCTTTGCAGCACTGGTTTTATTCATTCTCACAATTATGCAAGGTAGCTCTTCATTTTCATTCCACTATGAAGCCCATATTATTATTTATTCTGCTAGCTGAATTTTGGGTGTGTTTGTGACACAGAATTTCAAGTGTCATTTGCACCTTTTCATAATTTTGCTACAATGTCATATGTTGCTTTTATCACACTGTTGAACTGACTCTTAATTATGCTTTTTGTTCCATGTTATCTTATGGGATATCCCTGAGCGCTTTATTTCTGTGTGGAAAGCAGACTCAAAAATCACAACAGCTGCTATGCAAATGTCCATCTAATGCATGGTGGTTGGGTGTTTGAAGGAATTTGGTCCAATACAGCAATTGCAGTTTCTCCCAACATATGCATGCAAAACAGAGCTTAATTTAATCTACAATTAGGTTTGTATTCAGTACCTTGCAGTTGGTACTCAGTACCTTGAAATGATTAGAATGAGTCTCTAGTAATATCAAGTTCACCCTAATACAAAGGTTTTCAATGCTGAAAAACCCCGGTCAGAAATTAAATATCATATAATGTCCAATTGTCAAATAATTGGATAAGGTTTGCAGTCATGTAGGCAGAGCTTTGATGCTGTCATCAAGTTTAACATGAAATTATGTTAGGGTGGCTGTGGGTTTGTTTTGTTTTAAGAAACAAGCTAAAAATCACTGATCATTATTGGGGGCGTTTTCTGGTCTAAATTCTGTTCTTGTTTATATTATGCAAACTACTATTCTTTATTTAAAGACTATTGAGGCTACAAATTTAATTCCCAATTAACCAGAGACATCACATAGTGAAGCTTGTTATCACTGCAGCCATCCAAGCTATTAGCAGTATCAGCTCTCTATGGTTTACCCTGAGACGTTGCTTCAGGAACAGATTGTATCTCCTTCCAGCCTTCTGGAACAACCAACAGGGAATTAGCATGTCACCACACTACTTCTTTAAAAACCTAAATCTACAATTGCGTAAAGTCAGGAACAAGACTCATTTTTCCAGATCAGAAAGTTATGGCTGCAGTAATAAAACCTGCCATAATAAAGAATACTTATTTCAAAGACAATATATGCTTACATAGACCTTAAGTTCTAATATGTATATCATACATTCAAGATATCATTTTTGGAGATCTGGTTCTTTAATTCTCCATGACACATTCACAACAAGAAAACAATGTGCTCCAAGAGACACCCACGGACAAATACAGACTGAGCATTTTGCATTCAATTCCTGTTATCACAAGAGCTGGAAGTTTACAATCAAGGTAATTTGATGCCAGGAAGCTATAGCTATACCTGCAGACACCCCAAGTTGCATTTATGTGCCCACGCTGAAATATATGTATGACTAGTCTGTCCACATACGTAAAAAAGAAAAATAGGTAAAGGGTCCCCGGGATGGTTAAGTCCAGTCAAAGGCGACTATGGGGTTGTGGTGCTCATCTCGCTTTCAGGCCGAGGGAGCAGGCGTTGGTCCACAGACAGCTTTCCAGGTCATGTGGCCAGCATGGCTAAACCATTCCTGGCACAACGGAACACCTTGATGGAAACCAGAGCACATGGAAACGCCATTTACCTTCCCGCCGCAGTGGTACCTATTTATCTATTTTCACTGGAATGCTTTCAAACTGCTAGCTTGGCAGAAGCTGGGACAGAGCAACGGGTATTCACCCCGTCGTGGGGATTTGAACTGCTGGTCTTCTGATTGGCAAGCCCAAGAGGCTCAGTGGTTCAGACCATAGTGCCACCTACATCCCTTTCTGTCCACATAGCAGTAAAGGAGAACTTTCAGAGCTATGTAGTGGGCAGTGCAGTTATTGCTATCAGAAGTATTTTTCGAAGGAAAAGGAGGCATTCCATGCAGGGGCGAGAGTTTTCTCTGAGGCAGTTTCCCTTGCTTCTAGTTACATGCTCCAAAGCAAAATTGGAAGAATGGATATGCCCTCCAGTTCACAAAGCTAAGAACAGATAAAAGCCTCACATTTTATTTCTGTCCTGAGGCTTTTACCACAATATGATTAAAACCAGTTTCAGTGCCCTCTTATTTAAAAAGTCAAAGCAAGATCCAAGTTGTCTGTACCCTAACAGCTAAGTAGGTTGTGTACAAGCTTTTAGCACTTCATTCCCTAAAGGTAGCTGCTAGCTCCAAAACAAATAAGAGGTCAGCCACCAGTAACATAGCTAAGAAAAGCAAATTTTGGTTACGGCCTCCACCACCAAATTATATTAACAGAAGAGTTCTTGGTGTTTCTTTTTTTAATAATACTTGCTTATACATTTATTGTATCAGATGAATACTGTAAGAATTATTTGCTGCATATGCCAGTGGTTCCCAAACCCTTTTCCCTGTGGACAACTTAAAAATTGCTGAAGGTCTTGGCAGACCATTTATTGATTTTTCTGCCTCTTGTAGCAATCGTGATGCACCGTGCTAGATGATTTTTAATTGCTTTTTTATTGCTTCATTTATTTCTTATCATGTATTTTATTGCATTACAGTTTGCATGCCATAAATTTCAAATTGTAATACAATAAAATACATAAAAACGAAGCAATAAAATACAATTAAAAATAAATATGAGTGTTTGATGCAGACATGCTGTGGATCACCTAGATAAAGCTCATGGAGCACTAGGGTCCACAGACCACAGTTTGGCAATCTGCACATGTACAGTACAACAAATCACTTTAGAAATAAAATTGGTGCACAAAAAGGAGATGATGTTCATGATGCATATGCACTGTATTGTAAGATACCCAAGATATCACCAAAGTCTGCTAACAGGTTTCTGGGATGGAAGTGTGAGCGATCAACTGACCAGGAATACCATGGAAGAATATATGGTCATAAAAAGCAGTAAAAAGTCACAGCGATATTTTTCCAGATCTTTAAATTCACAACACATTGTGTTGGAGTTATATTTCACAATTACAAACTTTATATTGCTTAATTGTACAAAATATTATATAACTTATTAATTAAAACCTGTTTTTTTTTTAAAAAAACAAAGTTTAGGGGTACTCTCATTTTCCTACACATATTGAAATACTGCCCCTCAATGAGGCCAAACTTATATTCACAAAATGTTTAGGGGTATGCGTACCTCAGCGTCCCCCTAGGGGAAAAAAGCACTGATTAAAACCATACAAAAGACAAACATTCATGGAAGCTATTAGGTAAGGAAAAAAAATTAAAACAGGCCTACTTCACTTAAGCACGTCAAATAAATAAATGTAAATCCAGAGTTATAACTTTCTCTTGGCTTAGAATCCAAGGGCAGTACAGTAAATAACGATAAAGATCTATCAATTGGGCACCACAAACCAGATAGATAAATAAATGGAAAAGTAACACCAGTATTAGTAATACCAATACACAATGATAGTAAGAAGTCAGCGGCCACCTCATATAATTTCATCCATCAAGCTAAGGATATCTAGGTGTACCTGAAAGGCAGACTGCTCCAACTCCATTCAAAATTCATTGGATTAAAAGTGAGATACCATGTTAAGAATATTAACAGATACCATTTTTATCCTGCTTTCACTAGCTGCATGTTGTTACAGTAATTAATAAAGCAAAGCATTACACTTTATTGGACTTCATTTTTCAGACTGATCCATTAGGAACTCCCCACTGCCCAACATTTATGCTTGCTTCAGTACAAGACAAGGGGGTGTTGAAAGTCCATTTATTCAGAAGGGGCATGCAGACTCCCACTGACAGATGAATGAGCAAGGTGGTAGAAAATAACCCCAAAGTCCTGTTAAAACAGCAGAAAAGATCCAAACACATAATAGCAACTCATTCCACAGCAAACCCAAGAAATAAAAAAAAAAACAGTTTCCAGTTTTCAGCATTGTGTGGCAATTTTATGCAGATTTGTCACTTTATATTTGGTGTACTCTCAGTCCTTGATACCACTGTCCATTTTAATGATTAAAATGAATGCCAGCAAACTGAGAACACTAGGCAATTAAAGAGACAAGAATTATTTAATTTTTGGATGGACAAAGATTCCATATCTAAAGTTTAATCGCTTATTCTAAAGTGTCATTTCAGAAACAGACATTACCCTTATTTCTGAAATCTTGATACTGTAAGTCAAAGGAAGAAAAGCAAGGGTCACCATTGCATTTGCAGAATGGCTTTTGTAGAGGTGTCTACTAATATAAGAGAAAGGAGGATCATTGTTGCTGATTTCTCATGCAGTCTCCCATTTTACCTTCCACACTGTTCTGGAGAGTCTATTGCACAGATTGTTGAAGGGATGTCCCAAATATCTTAAGAAAACTGGAAAATATTTTTTTTGCTGTTGTTGCATTTTGACATACAGTAAGAGACAACACTATTCATGCAGGGATGCATAACCACTGCCACTGATTGCTGCTTACCCCTTGAAGATCAGAGATGAGTAATGTAGTCTCAGTGGTACTTAGGCCCTGCCAGTGGCATCATGAGAAAAATATAATGGGATTAGTGTTGATGCAAAAGCTGCAGGGTGCTTAAAACAAAAAACCCAGCAGTAACCATGAAGCCTTGCAGGGTTTGTATGTGTTTTTAAAGCAGCAGTGAGTAATTTCCAGTTTAATTCTCAAGGAAACAATAGACTGCCATAGCCACCTGTCAGCTTTATTTCCTGTGAGGAAATAAAGTGAGGAAACTTAAACCACAGTAATTTATGTTTTACATGGTTATTATCTTCCTGTTTGCGAACAGGAATAAAAGTTTCTATCTAATAAAAATAGAAAAAGGCTATGGTTTTGGTAAGTTTTATTCCACATTTGGAAATGATGGGGAAAGGAAGCTTTCTTTACATTTTTATCATAATAAATTTCCTGTTGGTCACTAAAAGCTTTTGTAAATTTCTATAATCTAGCGGTCTCTTGAATACAATCAAATTTACTATGTAAATTAGAAGTTTGCTGTATACCTCAAGAAGTGAGTAAATTTGGTATGAAAAATGATCTAACGTTTTATGTAATAACAAAGCCTCTCCTCTTGCAAAGAGGGGAGGGGTTGTGGGCGGGACGCGATGTCTGCCTCCCACTCACCTGGCTGGCGCACCACGCCCACAGGTAAGCGCCCAACTGGGCAGCTTGGAGGGTGCGTGGTTTGCAGTTTAACTTACTGCTGCGCCAGCCATGCGGCCTCATTTTCCGCCTTCCCGTCGCGAGTCAAACAAATGCTTAGGACAAGGTTTTCCAACAATGATCTCAAAACATGAGTTTAAACTGGCAGTTGAGCGGGGTGTATAGTGGTGATGCATGAAGATATATAAAGACAAATGTTTGATGCGTTAGTTTCAAATACAGGTAGGGAATATGAAACAAGATGTGCAAATTTTTCTAGGTTAATTTCAGTCCAGTGCATATGAGTGCATGAGTAAGTTACAGTATTAGACAATAAAAGCCAGATGGTTATATTCATCCACAAATTAAACTGGATTCAAGTTTGTCACTGAGCATCTAGCACAAAAATTCAAACAAGTGATCACCTTTGTATTTAAATTAGATAAAGATGTACAACAGAATATATTGGACAGTAACTATTGCAGCAAGCAAAGTGGATAAGGTATTTATTATGTGAAAGTATGGCAGCCAAGCAGAACTAATTTTAGGCTAACATTCATCACAATAAATACTACTCAAAATGCATACTCATAAAACATTTTGGTAATGGCTTATCCATAACTCATCTTGTATACTATGCATTGCATGTACATTATTGTAAAGAAATCAGAATTTAAAATGCTGAAAAAACTTAATTGAAGTAGCAAATATCTGCCCATATTTATCATAAATATGTGTAGCCTCGATGCAGCTACTGAATTTACATTTGCTTTGCAACCAGAAGCCAAAAAAATACAATTTTAGTATCAGATTTACACACAGGCTTTACCCAATAAAGCAAAAATACATTTGCCTTGAAATATAATTGCAAAAGTGAGCAGAATCATATTGCCCTCCCCATTCCTCTAGTGTGTCTTGAACTTGCACCTCATTTTCCAGCTCTGTGCCCTATGGCATTGGGCATTATTGCTGTCAATATGTGGCTATTGTGTTTAAAAATAAACAGTACCTGTGAACAGTTTATGGTGCAAAGGAAAATAAACTTCTGTGTGCAGGGATACATACACTGGCCTCTTCGTGCTTGTTCAACGGTGGTTCACAAACTGGAAGATGCTGCGACATCATTATATCTGGCAGGTGTGTATTTTCTGAGAGAACAGAGATTGACTCCTCCTACATCTGGTTAACATGGGGACATCTCTGCAACCTCAACCTCAAATCCACACCATTGCCTCACTCCACTGCCATGGACGATGGGGTGTGGCAGTTGCTGTTACTCTATTTTGGAGCAGAGTGTTTTTCTGGGATGGTGAGTCTAGAATATGGCAGATGTTGTACCAGTGTAGTCAAAGCACAGCTCTTCTCCTGGTGTATGGGAATAAAGGATTGCTCTTCCCACATAGTACCGGTATATGCCCTCAAATACTACCACGTGTTTAAACTCATTAAACTTATGATAGGTATGCGATTCGCAACCTGAACAATTTCACTAAAGTAATGAAGAGAATATATATTTACAAGAGCAAGTACATACAGTAACCAAAGTATACAACAAGTGGGCTACCAATATCAAATCAAGACTTTCTAATAATCAGCCTAAATAAATAAATACATACATACATACATACATACATACATACAGCGCTAAATATATATAAAATAAATACAGTTTAAGTTGGGTTGTTAAAAAACACTTTACATTAAGATATAGGAAGCTGCCTTGAACTAGGTTAGACTATTCTTCCAGCTATGCAAAGTAATGTATAGCATTAACTATTATGAGAGCTGTGAATTAATACTATTATTGTATCACATGGGAATACAAACACAAGGCATAGATGGTTTTCTCATATCTGAATCACGTAACATTATTTGATTTCATGTAACATTCATCAGCTTAATCATCTAACCAATTCACACATGTAACCAGGCTTCTATATGCAGTTTCCTAGATTAGGGGGCACTTGCACAATTCTGCTGCACAATGGAATTTAGGGTGGACAAACTTTCCTGGCTCCATTTTGCTTGTCTTCTGTAGACTGGCAAGGCCCTGCATTCCACTCTTTTTGTCTTCCAATTTCCCCTGCGAATTCTATAATTGATTTCTTAGAAGCCAATTTCTAAATATTAAAGTTTATGCCTTCCCTGAGAGATTAATGGCAATCTAATGAGGTTTTCACTTACCCACAGCATTACTTCCCTTTCAGTATCAAAAATCACATTTTATAAAACGAACTGTGCCCACAGTTAAACCTTACCTCAGAGTTGCAAGGCAGTTCTGAATCTGTGTTTGATAAATTTTCAAATAAAGGTCCATTGCTTTCTTCTCCTAAAGAATACAGGAATAAAAGTCACATTTACCTCAAATGTATGCTTCCCTAAAATAATAATAATAATAATTCATGTTTGAAGTTAAAAGAAATATTTACAGCCCACTCTTAAATATGTTTACTCAGAGCTAAGACTTTCTGAGTTTAATGAGGCTTACACTTTCTGTTCACATGTACTAACCAATAGGTGCCCTTGGCAGTCACATAACAACACAGACAATTCTGGCAGTGTATCCATGCTTGCAATTCTGGGATACTGATTTCATATTTTAGTAGCTACATCCTGAGAGGCCATTATCACCCACAATAAGTAGTGCATCATGTACAGCAAAGGGAGGGCAAGCATGTTTGCATCATAGGAAGCTGCCTTCTACTGAGTTATTGGTCAGCTAGCTGATTTGTGATGGCTCTCCACCCCTGCCTGGAGATGTCAGGGACCTTCCACACATAAAGCATGTGTTCTGCTAAAGTTACAGCCCTTCCTCACATCTGTGAAAACATACTGAATTGAGGCAAAAGTTAGGACAAAGGTAGGAGAGGGGGGAGGGAGAGGGAGAGGGGGGCAGGTAGGTGAGGAAGGGCTTGGCCTCCTCCATCCCTTCAAGATGGAGGGGGGGCTCAGCCCCATCCCAAAAGACATTGGGGGAGGGGGGCTGCAGGCACCTCTGCCCTATAGAGTTGGCACCTATGTGTACCAGCAACTCTGTTCGACACTCCACATAATCCACAAAAGTTTATGCTATAATAAATGCGTCAATCTTTGAGGTGCCACAATATTTTTTTTGCTGTTTTTGCTGCAACATACTAACATGTCAACCATCTCTAAATACATTGTTGTGCTTGTTCTGTAGCCATTTCCTGAAAATGCAACCGGCCTTTCATTGTTAAAGAATCAATGAAGAATACTTTATTGTGCTTCTCCAAGCAATGGGATCTTGTCTTCTGTACACTGAAAGAAGTATCAACCTTCAAGCAAAGATTATCCTGTATTCTGGCCACACTTGTACCCTACATAGAGTTTGTACCTCTGAATCATTACATGAAGAAAAGCCACAGAACAACATGCATCCTAATAAATAACAGCAATGCAGGAATTCACATGAAGAACTTTCTTGTAAATGGGCTTTCTCTGTTCACACTTTGTCCTGAGCTCAATAAGAGCTGTTTAGTTTACCTGCAAGCATACAATGTCTAACAAATGGTTTTTAATGATGCCAGCTGATGCCCTGATATCAGATTATATAATTTACATGAGGTAAATAATCTTTCAAAAGTGATAATATACATGATAATATTTTATATCCTTATACCTTGCTGCTGTTCATTTAACTGTTTGCCAGCGAGAAAGAAAACAATTCAACATCTATGTCTGGCATTCAATGAACTTCTTGCATACAAGTATGAAACACTGACCACAATTTACCTATTTCATATGGTCATGAAATCTTTAAAATATGCATCAAGACCCCCACCTACTAGGAGTTTCCTGCTCAGTTTAACGAAGAAATTCTATTTCTACTGAAATCAATGGAGAAACTCAGACCTATTCTTTGGAACTTCCTGCTGTTGCAAAACTGGTTGTTTTCCATGGCTTAAAAATTTCCATAAATTTTACATAAAGAAGAGCTTTATGTGCACAGTGGAGAGTCCAAACAGCTTTGGATCATAGACCATTCATTTATGAGCCCAAATGATTTCACCATAATCCCGCCCCCAAGCGTGCCTAGAATGGCAGCTTTGGATTTTTGTATTCCACTATGTTGAGCTTGTATTCATGAATCTAGTAGTATATGTAAATTGAACGTTGTATGTTGAACATGCAATGTTATTAGCATACCTTGTTGACTTATTGTGTAAACTGCCTTTGAAGTACCATCACATGGAACTCATTCTAATTCTCACATGCAACCTATACTTGATGCTTCTGTCACCGACTACCAAATATGCATGTGTGAACTTATGCTTAGGCTTTTGTCTTAAGCCCATTTATATGGAAGGCAATTCTGTGAAGTCAGTCTGCGAAACACTAAAAAAATTTAAATTTGGCTAAAGAAGAAACTTAATATCTTCTTGATTTACAACTACATCTCATTAGATAGAAAGGAAGGGGAAAATGAATTAAATTTCCTTTGAAATGTGTCTGAAACATATTGAGGTATATACACTAACCAGCAAGCAATCTCTCTCTAGCACATATTCACTTTATTTAATAAACTTTACATTTCACTTGGCTATAGTGAAACCTCTATGTGGTTTACAAGAAATATTGTAATTATCAACAAAAACAGTTTATATTAAACATGTCAATATGTCTGGATAGGCTTGCCTGAACAAAAATGATTTAAGCAGGCACTGAAAAGTGTACAGCAAAGGTGCCTATGCAATGTCAAAACACAAGGAACAGACATATCACAAAGGAATTGAGTTTCCATTGTGCAATATCTGTTGCAGAACAAATCCTTAAAGAAATGATTTGTGTTTCTAAAGCAGAATGAAATCTACTTTGTGGCAAAGGAATTAAAACTGCCTGGAGAGAACACATAATAAATCTGATTCAAACCAGCTCTACCAAGAGACTTGTATCATTCTGTTGCTCTGAACATGTTGTTCTGTACCTACAGACCTCCCTGCCTTTGAGTGTAATGAACACTCTAAACTGGACGAATCTGAGTACAGTGGTACCTTGGTTGTCAAATGGCTTGGCTCCTGAACAAATCAGCTCGCGAACCCTGCAAAGCTGGAAGTGAGTGTTCCAGTTTGCTAACGATTTTTGGAAGCCAAATGTCTGACGCGACTTCTGCAGCTTCCAATTGAGTGCAGGAAGCTCCTGCAGCCAATCGGAAGACTCCCAGAACAGATTAAGTTCAACAACCTAGGTACTACTGTACCTCTCCTCTCTCATAGCTACAGAGAAGTGTTCAGAAGCTTCTGTTTCCATTTTGAATTGATTGTAGATTTCTGTCTCACTCAAACCTGGACAAATGGTAGTTAATTTCAACAATGATGAAATGAAACAAGCCACAGTTTATGAAGTTGGCTTGTTTTGTATAACCATACTATACTCAAGATTACAGTTAGGGTTCAGACAACAGACTAAAACTATGGTTAATCTAAACCAGAAGTGGGATTTATAGTCTCCTCCAGAGGAGAGGGGAGGAAGTTCATGCATGACTCAGGTTTGCAAAGGCTCATTCTCACAATGCTAAACCATGGCAGATCCATACCATACATGTAAAGTGAATTCAACATTTATTTAAAGCATATGGCTTCCTCCAAAGGATCACGGAAATTGTAGTTTGTTAAGAGCACCGAAAGTTGTAGCTCTGTAAAGGGGAAACCACAGTTCCCAAGATTCTTCAGGAAAGTCATGCGCTCTAAAGGTATGGTGTGAATCTACCTCAAGACACACAAATAAGCCATGGAATTCCATGACACTACTACTACCCTGAAGGACAGAAGAAATAAATAAATCATGTAAAACTTGTTTCTTTGTGGAAATAACCACATCCTTCTTTAGAATGAAAACTTCTTTGCTGAGCCACATTTGAACACAACTTTGGTTTGGTTTGTACTTTGGTTCCCCTTCTTAGTGACAAAGACTTGCATAATTAAAGTCTTTCCTCAGGCCAAAACATGAGGTGAGAGGCTTTCAAATAGATCATCCCAGCAGAAGTTCTGTCATGTGGATATGGTTTAAGTGCCCTCTGTTTCTCCAATTTCTGATTTAGTCACTGTATCTCTTTGCTTGATATTTGTTCCTGTTCCTCATTTGGTTTTCAACATCCTGATTCAGAGCAAATCTCTTAATATCCTCTCCTAGTTCAACATACTGTGTGGAATCTTCTGCACACAGAAGCACTGCTGAAGCAACAGAGGTATCCACTAATGCAAGAAGAGGGGAGGTGATTTTTGCTGATGCCTCTTCCTCTGCACAATTTATTTTGTTTGTGTGTTTCAAAATTGTTGATATATGCAAGCTACTTTAAAATAAACAAAATGGTGGTATATAACACCAGCGAAATTAGCTAAAATGTATAAAACAGATAATAAATGTTGGAAATGTAAAGAAAAAGAGGGTACCTTTTACCATATGTGGTGAGAATGCAAGAAAGTGAAGGACTTCTAGGAAATGATTTATAATGAGATAAAAAAAATGTTGAAATACACATTTGTTAAAAAACCAAAGCCCTTCTGTTGGGTATGGTGGATACAGAAATTCATAAGAATGATAAAAAAATGTTTTTATGTGATAACTGCAGCCAGGATACTATTAGCCCAAAGATGGAAACAAGAAGAAATACCAACTAAAGAAGAGTGGTAAGAGAGATGGCGAGACTAACAGGGGGAATTCAGGACCAGACTTTCCTAAAGGAATGGAATAAGTTTTTGATATATTTGGAAAGCAATTGTAATCAATTGACATCGCTTGTAGGGTTAAAAGAAGTTTTGTAAGGAGTAATTTATAAATTATTGTGAAAAGAATTAAGAATAGATGTATTGGAAATTTGAGTTTATAGCAATAATTATAGTAACAAATTGCATAATTAGAAAGGCTTTAGAAAACCATCAGTCGAGGTTGAAGGAAGTCTTAGGCTGTGATAGCCAAAAACTTTGAAATGATGTTTAAAAGGATGTTATGCTGTGTAAAAACCAATAAAAAATTAAACAAAACAAAATAAAATAAACAAAATGAATTTGAAAATTCTATCTGAGATAATCTTGGGGACCAAGCAGAATAAAAATGAGATAATGAGTTACTGTATCTAATGCAATACAGTTTTGAAACTTTCAAAAGTATAAATCCATAGATCCTTGTAGCAAATGTTTAATCTTTCACTCATATTATAGTTTCGGGTTGCACTCAAAATAAAGTAAGAGCTGGCTGCTGGCTGCTGGCTTTACTGTGGCCTTGCAAAGGTCTTTTTCTTCTTCTAAGTATCCATTTTCAGTTTGTAATTGTCAGCACAATGCATGTCAGGCTTGCTCCAAAGATGCTAAGTCTGGTCTTTCACATATCCTAACTTATAGTTAAGAAGAACTCTTTGAATAGCAAACCACATATCACTGTGTAATTTCAAAGTAAAGCTATGGAAAAATTAGAGGCCCAAAGAAGTTAAATTTAGCAGAGCTGCTTGTTAGCATGTGCCCCACCAAGCGTTTCCATGCCGCAGGGGCATTTGCCATCTTGCCACATTCTTGGTCGGTCTAAAAATCCCTAGGTATCACAAGAATCCTGTTGAGAGAAGCTATAGCATCACTTGGAATGTCAAGCTATAAAACTGGACCACACCTAAAGTATTGCGGCTTCTGGAGAGTGTGTTCTCTGGAACTATTTTATCAGCAATAGATAACAAAAAGAAAATACTGACCCCATCAAGAATTTCAGATAACAGAATAAGCATGTGATTTCTTTAAATATCATGCTTCTTTGTGCTCAAGAGGTGAAATGGGGTGGGGAGAGGTGATATTCACAGATTCCAACTTTGCTATGTACTGCATTTCTTTGCACAACCTACCACTTTGTTGCAAAGGTCCATCACACTTCTTTAGCAGATTGGCTGGGTACATAGGGCTTCAGAGGAAAAAGGAATTACCAAAAATCATTCATCCTCTTTACACTAATGGAAGTATCCATTGGATCAAAAAGCTTTTTGCAAGTGGAGTAATACAACTGGATACAATCCATAAAATGGCAACCTGAGACTAGTGGGAATTAATTTATTCAACTGTTATCTGTTTTCAGCCAATAACTATAAATATGTATAAGAAAGCCAAAGAAGTTAGTATTTCAAAGGCTGCAAAGTGTAAGAGTGTACACAAATTCCAGACCAGACAGCCAGACTGTCCCTTTCAGATTTCAATGAAAGTTTAAGCCCTCAAAGGGTAAAGGAAGGTTCAGTCCAGTATTTATTGTAGTAGCATCTCTTGCAACTATGTCTTCACCACCTTGTATTATGTCTTTGCATTAGTTACTTTCATTATTATAGATCACAAATATTTCATATACAGTAAATAAGTAATACTGAATTGTTTATTATTATAAGTGCTTTACAGCCTTGACCTTGTTTCCCCTTATAGCAACTCTGCAGCATGCACCACTTCTAGTAAAATATTGAATGCAAATATAAAAGCACTTTAATTCCTTGTCATTTGCAAGTGAATTGTGAGAGCAGGTCATGCTATAGGTTCCAAGATCATGAATGACATCAGTTTGTAAAATAATGGCTAGCATTCTATGACATAAACCAATTCAAATCTCCCCTCTGCTATAAATTCACTAGCAGGCCTTGCACAAGGTTTTTATCTCTCAAATTCAGTCCCTAATCACAAATATGGTTACAGTATTTCTGACCTAAACCACAGGATAGTTGTAAACGTTAGTGAGATAATGTATATGAAGTGCTATGATTATGCTGAAGTAGTATATAATGACAATTGTATTGTTGAATGCTGTGTACAGTAGGGTATACTTACAAATGTTAAATACGTCTGATGTTGACATCTATTGTCATCAGAGTGATATGTTCTTCATATACAGCCTATGCCTAAGTGACAAACGTATTTAAAAAATGTCTGTCACAATGTTTAAGCAGCTGTTATAGTATCAATGAAAGTGGAACAGCCAAAAAAATTGACAAATGACCTCTGTCTTTTCAAACTCCAGAGTTAATATTCTTGTTTCAAAACTGAGAGTTTGTATTTGATTTTATGTGCTGTAACAAATGATGACAAAACAGGGTAGGAATAGTCCCTTCTTTTGGGACAATTTAAAAGCCTTGTGCAATAGCTAATCAGATCCCTAACTGGGTCATTCCTTCATCTTGGTCACTTGATAGGAAAGTTGTTAACTGTTTCTTTATTTGACATCTTCAACATGTACATGTGGAGATTGGTGGCTGTGAGCTACAGACATCATATGCATACAAAAACAAGGTCATCCTTGTTTAGTCATCATCCCAAGAGAACGTTAATTATTTCACGAGAGATGCTCAACAAACTGAAAATACATTTTCCTAAGTACTGATCTGGGAATACACATGCTATCCTATCTCTCAGTGTTGTTAGGAGGAGTATTGAGGGGTTAGCTACAAGTTGCAGGCAAACAATCCTGACACCCTAACACCCTTGAGAACTCTCTTCGTCTAATCAAACCCAGCTCCAGATTTTTTCAGTGTGTGAGATATGAATACCATATGAATATGTTGCTCTAAGGAGAGCTGTAAAATGACTTCAAGTCATGAGGAGGGACTGACCTGCTCCGCATTATTTTAATAAAAGCTTTAAAAACTTTGGCTTTTGATTCCATGCTATCCCAAGGGACTTTGATGATTTTTTTTACCCGTTTGTTAAGTTTATAGTGGTACAGTCAAACCTCGGTTGTCGAACAGCTCAGTTTTTTAACATTTTGGTTCCCGAATGCTGAAAACCCGGAAATAAATGCTCTGGTTTTGAATGCTTTTCAGAAGCCAAATGTCCAACACGACTTCTGCTTGAGTGCAAGAAGCTCTTGCAACCAATCAGAAGCCATGCCTCAGCTGTCGAACATTTCGGAAGCCGAACGGGCTTCCGGAATGGATTACATTCCACAAGTGAGGTTTGACTGTATATTTATTGTTGATTTTTGGATTAGAATTTTATTCTTTACATTATAGCTGCTTTGAACATTTTTTAAAAATATGGTTAAAGTATTGGTCTAGGACTGGGGGGGAGGTTCAAACACACAAAGTCATGGCCCTTTTTTAAAAAAAGAAAAGAAAAACTAGAGAAGTAATTGGAATGCATCTTACCCTTTTCTGCTTGCCATTTCTCTATTCCAAATAGTGAACAACAGTTTCCCCCATTAAAAACAAGCTATTTCTGAGGTATAAGGAAAGCCTCCATCAATGCTTCCTTTCTGCCCCCCTCCATATATACATACATATGGCTACAGGGCTGTTATACGCATTAGTATATAAATAAAAGTTAGCCCCAGAGATACTATCAGTGCTTCCAGATGTGGACAATCAGCAGCACCCAATCATTCCTGGTCTACTTAAAGCTGCAAATGAAATAGCAACTCGGTTTCCAGACTTATGGAATCCAAGAAATATTCTGCATCCATGTGGGTAGCTCCCCTTTCCCCAGTCCCAAATTTCTGGGAATGTTACATGGACCACAGTGCAGGTGAAAAGTGAAATGCTCGTGCCCCCCCCCCTTTTGCTGCACTCGCAATAAGTATACACCTTCTGCTGCAATTTGGGGCTGGGTAAAAGAAATAGATATGAAGGCAATATTATTTGGAAAGGGGATGGTGAAAACGATAGAAATGATTGTTAGAAAAGAGACAAAGCGTATGAAAGGAAATGGCTACAGCAAGCTACGAAAGACCAGCTGGCTCCAACAGTTGCACCATAAAACATCTATCCCTAGGGAAATTCAATACAGTGTTAAAGGAGGCATAATTTCTGAACATGGGGGCAGGGAAGGAAGTTAAGCAGGGGAAATATAGGAGCAGGGCATTTTGTTGACAATACCAAGCTAATGCTCTGTAAAAATGAATGAAAACAGTTGACTATTTCACAGTAAAAGCCCAGTGTGGAAACAGATTATATGTGAAACACCCTGAACTTGTACAAAAATAAAATCTATAAAACATTAGTAATTATGGCTATGGCTTATGCCTACCTTCCATTCTTTGCCTCCTGTCCCCCTCTGCACTCCTAGCCTGCTCTCTCTCTCCTGCATGCATGTCAGCTGATCAGCGAAAATTTGAAGCCTTTGAAGCTGAGGCCACACCCTCCTCTTTACAGGCCACTTTCAGAGAGTCAGGCTGATTCTATTCCCCCCTCCCACGGCCATTTTATTTTTCAATGACTCAGTGTTCCATGGCTATTGGGAATGCTCTGTCCTCACTGGGTTTGGGAGGGAGGAGGAGTTTCTCCTTATGGTCCATCTATAGCTATATGGAGGGGGGAGGGGAATTGTACTTCTGCTTCTCTTTAGATTCCCCCAAGTATGCTTGTGAGATGAGAGTGCTTTTTTATTATTGCTTAAGGGCTGGAGCTCATCCATGAATTTTAAAAATATTGCTTCAATATTGCTCAACTAGAGCACAGCTAGAGCCTTCATAGCTCACAATATTATCATGGATAATTTCAAAACCTATATGGTGGTGCCAATATAGGTATGTCATAATTGCAACTGAAATTGTAATTACTCTGGCTCATCTGCAAGAACATTAGTTTGATAAACAATAAACCAGAAACTTGGACTTCTGGATTACTGTGGAATGGCAGTGGATGATGAGCTGTTTTCTCCATGAATGGGGAGCTCGTCACGAGAGCCTTGGGGGAAGCACGAAGGTGGCGTGCACCCCCCAAGTAAGCCCCATAAGACATAAGAGAATTAGTAATCAATTGGTTGCAATATCACCAACTTAATGAAGTGTTTAAGATGGATAAAAACAAAACCTCCCAGTTCGAAAGGGAACTGTTAGAAAATAAAACTAAGTTAATTTCTAAAATGTATAAACTTTTATTAGACTGGCAAACAAAAGATGAACAGGTCAAATCGATTATGATTCACTAGGCGAAGGATTTTGGTTATAATATTGAATTAGCAGCATGGGAGAGATTATGGACAATACGATTAAAAAAGACAGCCTGTTCGAAAGAAAACTATATGAAAATGATGTATCGTTGGTACTTAACTCCTAGTAAATCAGCTAAAATGTATAAATCAAAGTCTAAAACATGCTGGAAATGTAAAGAGAAAGAGGGCACGTTTTATCACATGTGGTGGTCATGTAAGATGATAATAGACTTCTAGGAAATGATAAATAACGAATTGGAAAAAATGCTGAAAATAATGTTTTGTAAAAAAACCCCAGAAGCTCTTCTTTTAGGTATTTTAGGTCCAGAGATCCTGAAGGACCAGACAAAATTATTCATGCATGCAACCATGGCTGCATGGATGATGTTAGCCCAGAGATGGAAAGATGGCACAACTCTGACCAAGGAAGAGTGGTAGATAAAACTGATGAATTATGCTGAGATGGCAAAACACAGGAAGAATTAGAAACCAGGAAGAGACTGACTTTAATAAAGAATGGGGTAAGTTTATTATTTATTTTAAAAAAATACTGTAAACAATTACACACATTGGTAGGATTGACAGAAAACTTGTAGTAAAAATTCGAACTATGGAGTGATAAAGGATTTATAAAAATAGAGCTACGGAAGAGATGCAGAGGGGAAAATTATTATATGAAGATCCATGAAGGTGGGGAGGTAAGTCAAAGAGGATTTTATGTTTGTAGGTTTTTTTATTCTGTTTGTAAAATTGAAAATGCAAAAAATAAAATTTTAAGCTGCTCAATAAAATGAAGAAGAAGAAACCAGAAACTTGAGAACCATATGAAGGAGACAAAACAAAACTAAGAGCTGACTGAGTGAGAGATTATCTGGACAAATGCATGTTTCCCAACTTGCATTTGGCAAGAAAACAATTTTACAGATAAATATAAATAGTGTTTGGGATGGTTACACTAGTAACCGGGTACACCGGGTTCGTGTCTCCACTCCTCCACATGCAGCTGCTGGGTGACCTTGGGCCAGTCACACTTCTTTGAAGTCTCTCAGCCCCACTCACCTCACAGAGTGTTTGTTGTGGGGGAGGAAGGGAAAAGGAGATTGTTAGCCGCTTTGAGACTCCTAAGGGTAGTGATAAAGCGGGATATCAAATCCAAACTCTTCTTCTTCTTCTTCTTTAGAACAAATTCACTCAGATTATTTGTCTGTCCTCACCATGTCCCTGCACTAGCTTTCAAAACAGCAGGCAAAGAGCACAACTACCAAGTTTTTGATCTAATATCTGCACTAATCCTAAGATCATCTGTACCATAAGGCTGAGATATCCCTGAATCAGTTTCATTCACTGCAACTGAAAATCTTGCCCAAAAGGCTTAACAGTGAATGTGCACTTCTACTTGATGTGAGTCAGCGCCACAGCAAGGCTATATTTGGTCAGAACTAGCAACAAAAGTTTCCCTCCCCTTTCCCTGTAGGAAGTTGCTACTTTAGAACTAATGATTTTACATCAACATTGTGTCCATGAACTAAAGACCTCATTCTCAAATTTGTATGGGCAGGGTAAAACAGACTTCAATATACGGTATATAATGCCAGTGCCTTAAATATGTCCCTATTTTCACAAAACTAACCCAGATGCAAATACCGTATTTTTCGTTCTATAGGACGCACCGGTCCATAGGACGCACCTCGTTTTTTGGGGGGGGAAATGAATAAAAAAAATTATTCCCCCCCCCCCGCGGCTGCCGCCCCAAGCCTCGCGTGCTTCGGGCTGCAGGCTACCGCCCCAAGCCTCGCACGCTCGGCGGGACCTCCCACCGGGCGCGCAAGGCTTGCAGACACTCGCCCGAAGCACGGGAGCCCTCCGGAGGGCTCCCGTGCTTCGGGCGACAGACTGCCGCCCCAAGCCTTGCGCGCTCGGTGGGACCTCCTGCCGGGCGCGCAAGGCTGCAGGCACTCGCCCGAAGCACGGGAGCCCTCCGGAGGGCTCCCGTGCTTCGGGCGACAAGCTGCAGCCCCAAGCCTTGCGCGCTGGGCGGGATCTCCTGCCAGGCGCGCAAGGCTTGCAGACACTCGCCCGAAGCAAGGGAGCCCTCCGGAGGGCTCCCGTGCTCGGGCGACAAGCTGCAGCCCCCCGCCTCGCGCGCTGGGCGGGACCTCCTGCCGGGCGCGCAAGGCTTGCAGACACTCGCCCGAAGCACGGGGAGCCCTCCGGAGGGCTCCCGTGCTCGGGCGACAGCTGCAGCCCCAAGCCTTGCGCGATGGGCGGGATCTCCTGCCGGGCGCGCAAGGCTTGCAGACACTCGCCCGAAGCAAGGGAGCCCTCCGGAGGGCTCCCGTGCTTCGGGCGACAAGCTGCAGCCCCAAGCCTTGCGCGCTGGGCGGGACCTCCTGCCGGGCGCGCAAGGCTTGCAGACACTCGCCCGAGCACGGGAGCCCTCCGGAGGGCTCCCGTGCTCGGGCGACAAGCTGCAGCCCCAAGCCTTGCGCGCTGGGCGGGACCTCCTGCCGGGCGCGCAAGGCTTGCAGACACTCGCTCGAAGCACGGGGCACCCTCCGGAGGGCTCCCCGTGCTTCGGGTGACAAGCTGCTGCCCCAAGCCTCGCACGCTCGGCGGGACCTCCAGCCGGGCGCGCAAGGCTTGCGGACACTCGCCGGGGCTGCAGGCTGCTGCCCGCAAGCCTTGTGAGCCTGCGGTAACTCCCACCGGGCTTGCAAGGCTTGTGGATAGCTTCCTGAAGCCTGGAGAGCGAGAGGGTCGGTGCGCACCGATGCCTCTCGCTCTCCAGGCTTCAGCGAAGCCTGCATTCGCTCCATAGGACGCACACACATTTCCCCTTCATTTTTGGAGGGGAAAAAGTGCGTCCTATGGAGCGAAAAATACGGTACATTTCCTTCAGACTAGAATACTGACAGAATGACTCAGTTCTAAAACTCAGTATTTTTCTACAGCAGAACATGTATTTTGAATAACATGGAAGCAGTACTGTTTATTTGAAGGAATAGTAGTCAGTGGAAACTTGTCTGTTCCAGGTTCCTGTCCCCCCACCCCCTTTTCATAATGCCCACTGGATGATGACAACATCACAATAATATATAGGGTTGGTTGACATGGTACCAAATTGGAAATTTCACGTGCCAAATCCACATCAAAGAACAGGCATTGAGAGACCTTACTCCTTTTGTGCTATTGTTGGACTCTCCCCAAAATGACAGAACAGGGTTGAGTGTGTCTAGACTGTACAGCATGCTAATGTTAATAGATACAGATATAGCTGATGGTCTAAGGCAGATGTGGGAAGCTGACAAATTACTATCAGTAGATGACTGGACCTCAACATGGGGGAAATTTGTTTTGAAATCTGCCTTGGCCTCAACAGAAGAGGTAGCACTTAAAACATTGTAAAAATGCCATCTCACACCTATACATTTGGCTCATATTACTTCCTGACATTGACCAAGCTGCTGGAGAGGCTGCAGAGTATTATGCTTGAATCAACATATTATGGGGTGTGTGGAGGGGGGGTGAGAATGGTTTAATTCTGTGAGGAAGTATTTGTTGAAATAAAAGCAGTTATTGCACAAAACACCTTGAAATGTCCAGAGCTAACCCTGCTCAATTTTTTGTTATGGGAGACAACATTAACTTACATTTCAAACCCCTAATAAGTCATCTTTTACTAGCAGCCAGGCTGATAATAAAAAGATACTGGAAAAAATCAGAGGGTGCTTCTTTGACAAACTGGTACAATAAAGTACGATAAAAAGCACTAATGGAAAAAGTGACTAATAAAATAAAAATGTTACAAGGTTCAAAGCATAAAGATTCTTTTGCAACTGATTGGTACAAATTTATTATGTATACAGCTAAAAATGAAAACAGAGGACGCCCTTCATGTTATAAGACTTTTTGGTTAGAAGAGCTGCATGTTGCCTTTGATGCAAATAAATGGGACAGGAAGTGATAGCAACACGCAGTGTTACAAACTCAGATATATAAGCTAGGTGCCAAGTGGCTCCTTAAACCAAGGTTACAGTCACGAAAATGGAATGTCTAATTGCCATTTTTGGGTAAAAGAGCTCTAAAATCTTATTTTTCAAATGATGGATTGACTATGTGGCTAGTTAAGAACTTTGAGAACTTAAAGAAGAAAAGTCACTTGATCCTGGTCCAGTCCATGAATATACTGGCCTTTTCCGACCACCTTTTTTTTCTTAAAGGTGACTGAACCTGTGTAGGCTGCGCAGAAAAAGCATTTTGGTTCCAGAAATTCATTCCGATTGTGCATATGAAATATAACTGATAGAATTCTACAGGATGGGGTATTATTATGTGAAAACAAGCCAGATCCAATGATCCTCAGGCATGCACCTCCAGATGGTGGAGATGTCAGGCACCATCCTGGCACCCAGGCATCTTCACTTGGTTGCAAGTGGTCAAAAACCAGGTGCAAAGTGAGCCTGGCACCTGGCTAATTTCAAACACTGCTTTCACAATGCAGAACCATGAGACCTATTTTGTGATTGTTTATCCTGGCCCTTCAATGGTCTCTGCTCGGAATATGACTTCTGTGGAACTTTTATAGCCGCATTTCTGGGCCTTGAAAGAATCAGAAAGCTATTGAAGTATAGCCATATCTCCTAGCCTTAAAGAGATATAAGAAGCAGGTAAAACAGCATTCCAGGGCATCTTTGAAGGCAAGGAAAGAGGCAATGGATGAATAAGTTAGGGAAGGGGGTGACTTTGGACCTAGGAAGTCGACAGTAGAATGAAAGCTAGAAGTAGGGGAAGAGTAGATAGGGAGTAGAGGCATCATTTGCTCACTTTGCTGAAAACCTCCTTGAGGCCCTTATTACTTTGCTCTTTTCAATTGCTTTCATGCTCATACTATATCAGTTTTTAAGGTATGTGGTTCCAGGCTTTTCCTGGAAATTAGCATAGTCAACTGAAGTGTTCCACTAGCACAAAGACACATGACTGAGAATTTGAACCCCTTTGCCTTCTCCTCTCCCCATGCATCCTGTGCATGCCCCATAAATCTGTTCTAGAAGATTGTGGGAGCCCCCAGAAAAAAATAGGGGTTGCACACGGAGAGAATAAGCTCCATTGCACAACTAAAAGTCATTGCTCTAGTGAAACTGTTTAATTGAATACCACTCATGGTCTCAGTTTCCACAAGAGTGCCTTGTCTGCTTCATTCTTTCACTACCTAACAGAGGGGAACTTATACTTCTGTGCAGTGCATGTGTATGTGCAAGTGTTGTGTGTAAGTGTACACAACAGAAAAATCACACATGAAGTATGCTGGCTATTACAAAAGACAGGATGTCTGAGCTGCTAGAACTCTGACTTCAGTTTTATTCAAAGATGACACCTATCCCAAACACAGTCTGGGATGCTATGGAATGCTTTAAAAAAACTTTCAAGTCAAAGGCCACTGAGACAGGAAGTTCAGTGTGTTGGTGGTTGAAATGGAACCAGTGAACATCAGTACATTTCTAGCTTGCATTATACTTTAATAATGGGTTCCTTTAATGATTAAGTAATGATGGGGGAAAGATGCTAGGCAAAAATTGATGCAATGGATTTTTTCCTGGCCTAGTAACTGCTTTGGGAATGGCATCAACTATGCACTTTGTAAATATTCACTTTAGCTTAGTCATAGCAATAACTTCATCTCAGACACTTACGAGAAAAATACCCCAACTTGGAAGTCATTATGAAAGTGCTTAGTAAGTCTATTTTAGGCAGTATTTAATTTACAAAATAATGTTTTCCAGCATGATGATAACACCACACTCTGACCTTCACATTATGTTGGTTCACTTGATCTATCTTATAAAAGTGAATGAAAACTAAGTATCTTGAAAGAAGGGATGATGCGTTCCCTCCCCCAACCCTAGATTTTACTGTCATTTTTTAAGTTGACTAGTAGTATACACATACACACACCAGAACTTCACACATACAAAAATACATTATTCACTTCTCTACTGCTATGACCCGGTTGCCGTAGCTACCACCAAACAACAACAAAACAACACGGCTTTCCACTTCCACACTCAGTTTTTGTCCTTCCTCACCCCAGCCAATTTCGTTATTTCCATCTTTTAGCCTAGCCTACAGAATGACCTGCCAGGCATACTATCCTATTCTCTTCTTTGTCACCACTCTGGGGTAATGAAGATGGTACCTGCAGCAGCATTGTTCTTTGTTGCTTTGCTGAATGATGCCACCCTCCATTGTCACTGCAACCCAGCTAGGCAAGCATATGAGGATTGGGGGAGGCTGAAGCCAAGGAAGGAACAGGTGGCAGCAACCAGTCAAGAGCTCAACAGCAAAGCACCTGCAAGAGGTGCTATTATTTTCATTTCCCTCCTGAAGCCACCAGAGTTGTTTGGGGAGGAGGCAAAGGTGCCCTCTAGCCTTGGGAAGGACCTGCATCCATTCGCCAGTGCCATGTCTAGCTTAGCTATAGTATCCATTCCATTTCACCTCGAGGTGAAAGTCCTGCAAGTATCAGTTCAAAGGCAGTGACATAATTTCCAATTTGCATATAATGGAGGCAAGAACTACCAGGCAAATAATCATAGCATCTGGTAGAGTGGAGCTGAGCTTCCTCTCCAATGCTGGCATCACTGCAGCTTACCGGGGCAGGGCTGGGCGGTATCAAGGTTGGGCTGTGACAGACTCCATCAGTGGCCACAAACACCCAATGTCATCACTATCCTGCCCTGTCCATCCAAACACTGGTGTCAGGAGGGTGTCTCCAAGCTATACCATACCAGTCACTACTGGGAGTAGTTTTACAGCATGTAGAAGGCGAGTAACATCCAGACCCCTACTTTCTAACTTGTGTTTAAAACTTTTGTAGTAAAAAGGCCCAAAGCTTAGTATCGGTGAAAGACAATTTGCTCATACCGTATTTTTCGCACCATAGGACGCACCGGACAATAGGACGCACTTCCTTTTAGAGGGGGGAGAACAAGAAAAAAAAAATCTCCCCCTCTCTGCCCAGCGCCCCTTCAGCAAAGTGGCAGGAGGCGCTGTGCAGAGAGGGGGAGAACTTTCCCCCTCTTGTTTTCCCGCTCTAAAACAAGGTGCCGTTTAAGGTGCGTTCAGACGGCTACCTTGGAAGCCTGGAGAGCGAGAGGGGTCGGTGTGCACTGACCCCTTTCGCTCTCCAGGCTTCAGGTTCCTTTCGACCTGCTCTTTGGGGCTGGCGGGGGGGAAGCCCACCACCAGCCCCAAAGAGCAGTTCAGGGAGCAGCGGAGAGGCTCCTGCCATAGCCGTGCGTCACCTCTCCAGCTGGGAGAGGGTCGCGGGGCTATGGCTTCTTTAGCCCCGCGCGCGCTCTCCCGGCTGGAGAGGTGACGCACGGCTATGGCAGGAGCCTCAATAGCCGCGCGTCACCTCTCCAGCCGGGAGAGGGTCGCGGGGCTATGGCGTCTTCGCTCCATAGGACGCACACACATTTTCCCTGTCTGTGGTCTATATGTATGTGCTGGTGTGTGGCCAGCTTGTATATTTTTCCTGGTACAGGGGCATGCTCCCTGTTCTTAGCATGAGTGTGATCAGTGGGTGGGTGTGATCTGCACAATCAGGGCCAGCAGGACATATATGACTGCCCACAGCAAGAATGGAGGGAAGGGAGCAGCTATTATTTTGTGTTATGCCATGCTCCCTATGGCAGCCACTTTAAGAATGGCACCCATAAAGGTAAAGGTAAAGGGACCCCTGACCATTAGGTCCAGTCGTGACCGACTCTGGGGTTGCGACGTTCATCTCGCTTTATTTGCCGAGGGAGCCAGCGTACAGCTTCTGGGTCATGTAGCCAGCATGACTAAGCCGCTTCTGGAGAACCAGAGCAGTGCATGGAAATGAATGGCACCCATAGAACTTTGAATTGTGTCTGCTGGTCCAAAAAGGTTGGCAGCTTCTGGTGTAATAATAACAGCTTTCAGAAAATGATATGAAGGCCTTGGCATGGGCTGGTCTGGACGTTCCACCTTTTTTTTTAAGAAGGGGAAAGTTCAATAATGGCCATCAGCTTTAGTTTCATTATCTCTGATGCAGCCTGGTGAATTGGCAGTTGGAACAGTCTTGGGAGCCCCATGATCTCAACAAGGCCTCACTCTCTCACCTTTCCCCAACGGTGCCAGATGCAAAACACCGCACCTTCCCATGTTTCTGGTTAAAGCTTTGGGTAACATAGGCGTATAATGCGGCCGTCCTACGATCTGCTGAAGGAAGGACCCTCCCGTAGAAATCTACTGGCGACAGAGCCCTTCGGTTTGGTTCAACCCCTGGGAACGGCTTGAAGAGGCCTCTGGAGCCGGAGTGGACTGTGGAGCCGCTTCCCTTTGAGGAAAGGCGGGAGCCGCCCTCCCTCCTTGCACGGCCGCCTGGGAATTCCGCTAGCCTCGCTCCTTCTCGCCCACCCGAGGCGCGCCTTTTTCTCCGGGCTCACCCTTCCTCCCCACACCGCAGGTGCCCACATGGAAAAAGTGAGCCTGAGGCGACGCATTTCAGCCAAACACCGGGCGGCGGAATGAATAGCCGCGGCCAGCCCCGCCCGCCCGCCCGCCAAGAACCAGGCCGGGATCCTCCACGGCCCGGTTTTGTCGGTCTCTGGGTGGGGGGTGGGGAGAAGCTGCGCCTTCAGCACCGGACAGGGAGCGCGAGCGGGGCAAGGGAAGCCCCGGGATTCCCAGGCACTGGCCCAAGCGCCGCCTCAGGAGCCGGAGTGGAGAAAGAGAAGTTTTTCCCCGGGCAAACTGGCGAGCGACCAAGACCCACCCCCCCGCGCGCGCGCCCCGCTTCCCTCCCGGTGGCTTTACTCACCGTCATTGGCCAGACCCATCTCGATGAGGGTCTCATCCTTCTTGCCCACTCGGTTCATGGCTGCTCGGGAGAGGCGGGCGCGCAGGCTAGCCAAGCAGCCTTGCCCGCTAGAGAGAGCCAGTGTGTGGGAAGAAGGGGGGTGGGGAAGGCGGGCGGGCAGAGCGCGAGCGCGCCGCCCCCAGCCTTTCCTCTCTCTCGCTCTCTCTCCACCCTCGCCCGCCCACCGCTTATCTCTTCTCCCTGGAATCCCAGAGGGGCAGCGGACGACCTAATTAGTGTCCGCCGGCAGAGCTCAAGGAACGGGTGGGAGGGAGGGCGCGAGCGCGGAGGTAGCGGGGGGAGAGGTTGAATTGCTTCAAGGGGAGGCGCCTTGTGCGGCCCTGGAAGCTGAGCAGGGGAGGAAAGGGAGGGGGCGAGAATGCGCGAGTCGGGGTCTGCGCGCGCTGCCAAGGTTCGGACTCGGGTTCCTCCTGCGGATTGCGTCACGGGGGAGGGGGGGAGGCGCCGAGGCTTTGCTCCTTGCGCTCTCTCACTCTCTCGAGCTCCACACCCTTTTCCTGTTGAGTCTTTCGGTGCTGATGCTGCTGGCTGTTCTCTCTCTCTGAGCAAGCTCACACCCACGTGCTGCATTAGGAGAGAGGCATTCTCAAGAAGATAGTCACCCGTCCTCCACCCTCTCCTCTTTCACAAAGGCGAATATTTTTCACTTCCACTTGAGTGTTATTATATTTTTATTTTTACGGCCATCTTCAAATATCTCAAAGGCCAGATGGAGCAAGCTTGTTTTCTCCTGCTCCGGGGGGGTAGGACCCAAACCAATGGATGCAAGTTACAAGAAAGGAGATTCCAACTAAACACCAGGAATAACTTTCTGACAGTAGGAGCAGTTTGGCAGTGGAAGGGACTCCCAGGAGAGGTGCTGGAGTCTTCTTCCCTGGAGGGTTTTAGGCAGAGGTTGGAGGACCATAATAATTTAATAATAATAATAGTAATAATAGTTATACTCTGCCCATCTGGCTGGGTTTCCCCAACCACCAACCATCTGTCATGGATGATCAACTTGAGGTTCCTGCATTGCAGGGGGTTAGACTAGATGTCCCTTGGGGTCCCTTTGTTGTTGTTGTTTAGTCGTTTAGTCGTGCCCGACTCTTTGTGACCCCATGGACCAGCGCACGCCAGGCACTCCTGTCTTCCACTGCTTCCCGCAGTTTGGTCAGACTCATGTTTGTAGCTTTGAGAACACTGTCCAACCATCTCGTCCTCTGTCGTCCCCTTCTTCTTGTGCCCTCAATCTTTCCCAACATCAGGGTCTTTTCCAGGGAGTCTTCTCTTCTCATGATGTGGCCAAAGTATTGGAGCCTCAGCTTCACGATCTGTCCTTCCAGTGAGCACTCAGGGCTAATTTCCTTAAGAATGGATGCGTTTGATCTTCTTGCAGTCCATGGGACTCTCAAGAGTCTCCTCCAGCACCATAGTTCAAAAGCATCAATTCTTCGGCGATCTGCCTTCTTTACAATTCTAGGGTCCCTTACAATTCTGTTATCCTGTTACCAACACCACAAACAGGAGGCTGTCAACTTCAAAGGAGTGGAGAGGGAGGGAGAGGAAAGTCACCATAAGAACATAAAAGCCCTGCTGGATCAGACCCAAGGCCATCTCACAGTGGCCAATCAGATGCCTGTGGGAAACCAAGCTGGAAATCAACACAAAAGCCCTCTTCTCTCCCATGGTTTCCAGCGACTGGTATTCAGAGGCATGATGCCCCTGATTCAGTTTTCTCACACCAGTCAGCTAGAATATGTGAGGACCATGTGTGCCATCCTGGGGAAGGATAAGGATAAGAAAAAGAAAGGATCTGCATCTCCTTTCCCCCCCCTCTTTACAGTCCCCCTCCCCTCAGAATTTGCCTCCACCCTGAAGCTGCATTTCCATCACTGGTTCAACACTTTTATAAGTTTTATGGGGATACAATTACGGTATATAGCAAGCTAGTTCAGTAATAAAAGTTTTGGATGCATTTAACAAGAGAGCCAGAATAATTTGTGCATGGTTTCAAACAATAAAATGATCTAATCAGGAATAAGAAGGGGAGAGGAAGTACTATCACAGTAATTTCTTAAGTCGAATAAATTCCAGTGAAGTCCACTTGACATATAGTAAATTTTTATTAATGTCTTCCCAACATTGGTCTCTACAGCAGACACTGCAACCGTCCAACAGTTTGACCTCACCCCCAAATGTACACTCCTCCATTGTCTCCCAAGACAGACAGATGCCAACAATTGTTATGTATGTATGATTGGCCTTGGTATTATCAGCACATGTATGCAGCAGCAACACATGTGTATGTTGGATTGTCACAAGTAGTCTACAAAATGATTTATAATATATTAAATCACCTATAAAATTACTCACTTGTTCACATACCTGTTCCTTTTATTGGACCACCTCTCTCCATATGAACCTATCTGGACCCTGAAATCATCCTCTGAGGCCCTTCTTTGTGTGTCTCCTCCAAAAGAGGTTTGGAGACTGGCAACTTGAGAATGGGCCTTTTCTGCTGTGTCTCCCCGTTTGTGGAATGCTCTCCCTAGGGAAGTTTATCTGATGCCATCATTATACATCTTTAGGTGCCAGGCAAAAATGTTCCTCTTCACACAGGCCTTGGGCTGATTGACATCCAATGCCCTTTCAAATGTGTTGTGGGAGGGTGCATTATTTGTTTGTTTTTGTCTATATTTTTATTATGATGTATTGTGTGAACCATGCTGAGATCTACAGATGAAGAGCAGTATATTAATTTAATTAACAACAACAGCAGTAGCAACAACAACAACTTTCCTGGGCTCCATGATCACTGCAGATGGTGACAGCAGTCACGAAATTAAAAGATACCTGCTTCTTGGGAGAAAAGCAATGACAAACCTAGACAGCATCTTAAAAAGCAGAGACATCACCTTGCCAACAAAGGTCCGTATCATTAAAGCTATGGTTTTCCCAGTAGTGATGTATGGAACTGAGAGCTGGACCATAAGGAAGGCTGATTGCTGAAGAATTGGTGCTTTTGAATTATGGTGCTGGAAGAGACTCTTGAGAGTCCCATGGGCTGCAAGAAGATCAAATTTATCCATTCTTAAGGAAATCAGCCCTGAGTGCTCACTGGAAGGACAGATCGTGAAGCTGAGGCTCCAATACTTTGGCCACCTCATGAGAAGAGAAGACTACCTGGATAAGACCCTGATGTTGGGAAAGATGGAGGGCACAAGGAGAAGGGGACGACAGAGGACGAGATGGTTGGACAGTGTTCTCAAAGCTACTAGCATGAGTTTGACCAAGCTGCGGGAGGCAGTGGAAGACAGGAGTGCCTGGCGTGCTCTGGTCCATGGGATCACGAAGAGTCAGACACGACTAAATGACTAAACAACAACAGTCTATGAGTTACTAGTATTGTAAGCCACCCAGAGTGGCTGGGGAAACCCAGCCAGATGGGCGAGGTACAAATAACATCATCATCATCATCGTTATTAAATTAATTATTACTAGAATATATTACTAGTATATATTTTTATATGTAACTTGCAACTGATGTGCATAAAGCACATTCATCTTTATGCGCATGGCAAAAAAAGTGGCGGTGGAAAGGGGGTTGGCATCCAAGAAAAAAGACTTTGGCAATCCCACTTGCCATTGAACCATGTGTGTTTTGACTATATATGCTTTTGGTTTTATGCGCCACCCCTGGAATGTAACCATAAGTTGAGAGTTGCCTGTATACTAGTGCACTTGGTATTCCCTTGGCAAGTAAAGGGTTTAAAGGTCTGAGGATCAGCTGATATGATTTATAAGTGAATAGGCCTTGTTGTGGCAGGTCTTGTTTATGTTTCCTAGATAGGTATCAAATATAGTTACTTGAAACAAAAAGAAAAGTGAGGCAACAGGCAGGCACACAAGGTTGCTTGTCAGCTTCAGTTCAAAAGAGGCTGAAATACGTCTGGACTCTCAAAATGTTACCCATTATCAAGTGAAGTAATAAAACACTGTGGACCATTATATGTGCTGTACAAGTGTGAAAGATCATTTATAACTCTGAAACCGTCTGTTAGAGTTATGAGAAAATTGTGTAGCGTTTTTCTCAGTACTGGTTCCAACTAGCACATAAGAGCACATGACAACTTCAGGAAAAGTTTAGAGAAGATAAAGATCAAGTCACTTGGCTGATCTTCTGAGACAAAAATTTCCCCACGTTGTGGCTGATTATTTCTTAGAATAAAATGTTGAATGTCTACAGCCAAGGCATTTCAGTTTAATTAGAAATTTTTTAACAGCCTATTGCTTGTGAACTTTGTTCATGATTAGTGGGCAATATATAGTACTATAATACATGCCTTCCCAGATCAAACCGAGGTTTGCCTAGTGACTATCACTGTGCTTCTAGTAGCATCTAGCCAGATGCATCTATCAACCTCACAAGCAGCATACAGTAGCAATGTCTGTTATCCTTTTGTGCCCCTCTTCCAGTGCTCTAGTCTAGAGTTACTGAACACACACACACACCATTAAACTCATTATGGCTAGCCTTCCCTTCATCTAATTCCTTCTTATAAGGTATGATCATCACACTAAAAGTCATAACTTTGTATGAAAATTCATAAGAACATATAACACAAATGATGCCTCGTATCAGGAAAGCAACCAAGCAACTCCATTTGGATTTAAAACTTGGCATAAAGGCAGAATAAAGGGTACAAACTCAATTTTACCTTCGTATAAAACAAAATGCTCTGGAATATCCATGCCCCACCCCCAGATGCATCTTTTCCAGCTGCCTGAGCTGCTGATTGAGCATTTTTATTACCAATTGTGACAGTGATGCGGAAGGGAAGCAATGGATACATATGAAGAACTGGTAAAATGTATCACTAAGCTTAACACTGGTGTGGCATTATGTGAGTCTCTGAAAAATACAGACTCTTACTTTCCTCATTATCTAGTATATAACTTGAAAGTAAGGAATGACATTGAAAAGGCAGGTACTGTTTTTGTGGGTTGCCAGCTGAGACCTGCTAAGAGTGTTGCACATCTCCATTAGCAGTGCCAGCGAGGATAGGCAGGGGACTGGCATTGGCTGAAGTCCCTCTGCACTGCGAAGGTAAGTGACAAGTAGAGGTCCAAGTCCTACAGCCCAGTCAGAGTTGCAACAAGTTAATTTTGATTGTATTGAGTGTTCCAGTTATTTCCCACGATTCTTTAACATGCAGTTATCCACTTACAACCAATATACAGTATGTGAACCTATTTTTGAAGGTTCTGTATGCCATGGGGAGTGGAAAGTAGTTGGACTTGCTGGTAGACCTCCAGGTGAATTATAATAGATCAGGGGTCGGCAAGGTTTACCGGCCGTGGGCTGGATCACTCCCATACAGATCATCCGTGGGCCGGA